TCCCTCCCTCCCTCCTCTGTGTTGCTGCAGATGCTGCAGATTCTTAAATGGGCCCTTGAGCCCTCCCAGGGTCATTTTGGTTTGTGGATAGTTGTCTATGTTTATTTTTTCTGGAATGATGAAGGCTGGTATCTCTTACTCCTCCATCTTGGTAACCCCACTCCGTCATGCTTTTCTTGATCTATCTGTATCTGTATTAGTAAATACTGATGTAGAAGTTTATCATCAATTTCACTGCCTTTTTACAAAGCCTGATTTATTCGAATATTACATGAATTAGATGAATGTGGAATGAATGCACAGTGGAATGAATCATTAAAGAGCCAAACAGCCACTATGAGTCATACGCTGTACTAGGTGATGAAGATATAAAAATGAACAACTCACTCCTCCTGTCAAGGAGCTCACAGTCCAGTATTGTACTAAAATGGTGCTCATTTTATATTTAAAGTATGTACAAGGTACAGATGAAGCACAAATAAGCAAGTAGTCACTTCTGCCCTTTTCAGGGGTGACGTGAAGAAAAGGCCTCTAAGAGGAGGTGATAATGCTGGTAATTTCCGTTCAATTTGAGCACTTATTTCCAAGTGTTAGCTGTTACTCTGTTTTACTGCGTACATAATGTTTGGTCTTTTGTGGCATAATTTTGCTTTCATATTTGTTCCCTAAAAATCTAATTTAGCAGGTCATATTCTTTTTTAGAAATCTTATGAGTGATCACTCAGTCTCAGTTTTAAGTCCCCATCCTAAATCCCATAACAGGCTTGGTTGCAGGCAGCCCCAGGAATATGGGTGGGTGTGTGTGTGTGTGTGTGTGTTTTATTTGCTCATTCTGGTTTACTCTTTCTGGATTGTATCCTGGTAATTCCAGACCCACTCTAGAGCAAACCTGAACTCTTGCTATTTTTAGGCACCTGTAACAGATAAGCTATTTTTGGTGACTGACTTAAAATATTAAATAAGCCATATTTAAAATGGGCTATTCAATATTATACTGAAAACCAGTACTGATATGGTGTTGGCCATTTTACTGGTTGCTTATAGCCTTTGTTTATTCATATTCAGTACTCATGAAAAGTGAATTGCAGCTCTGTTTGTATTTTTTATTCCTAAGATTTCACTTTTTAAAAAATGCCCCCAGCACAGTAGTATACATGTACTAATTACCCAGTAGTTACTTAGTCTTTAAATAAATATAAACTATTTTTTTGTTTTGTCCCGAATCTTGATAATAGAATGTCATACCATACCAGTCAGTGATATGAAACCATTGTCCAAGATGTCTTCTTGAAGGATTAAACTGAATAATTTTTATCTCCTTTACTCATCATTAGTTAAAATCTATGACTATTTTGAATAACATGTTTCATAATAAAACTGTAGAAATGCACAGCTGGTTGATACTGATATTAATTTGTGTACCAAATCTACTTAAAGTAAATACATATGTGTATATATACATATATCCCTCTATACAGATGTACGTATATACACACAGAGAGAATATCCTATGATCTTATAACCTTTTCATACTATTTAAATCACTCTCTTAAATTGACCAACTCATTTATTTTCCATTTATATTAAAATGTAGTGTGACTGTGTGGGCTTGCGCTTTTTTTCTTAACTAAAGTCACATCAAACATAACAGGGTTCTGTTTAAAGCAGTCGACATGATTCAAGGCCACATCCTATTCATATCATCAGGGGACTGCATTATCAGTCGAACTTATGTACGTGGCCCGTCCTTCCATTTCAGGTGACATGGGGGATTTTGTGAGTCAGGTTAATTGAGCAAAGTAGGATATGGGCTTTTCTCAGGTTGTCATTACACAGGATATCATACATAACCGAGACCTCACTGTAAACTGGAGGAAAAGGTTATTGCATTCGGGAGAAAATTATATACTCTCTGAAAGTACGTGCAGTTGTAACGATTTCCCTGAGACATGCAAAAATGTACTACGTACTCATTTTGACTGAGCTCACTGTACAACTTCATTTTTAAAAACAAGAGTGAAAACCAGACAAACACATCAGTATGACCACAGTGTTTTCCTTTAATTTTAGCTCACTGCAGATTTTCTTGACAGACAAAGTTAGTCTTTATGAAGAGTGCTAAAATAAGCAAACCCTTCCCTTCTGATCTCATAATATTGGAAGAATCTTTTATAATCTTTAAATATTTTTCTAGTTCAATGTAAATCTTAAAATGAAGCTTAGTCAGGCATGGAGTAGAATTTGAATCATGCCTTTATTTGCTGCTGAAAATTGCCTTTAGATTTCTGTTTATGTTAAGAAAATATTGCCCCACCCCACACCACTACCAGTATGTACAAAAAAAGAATTGAATGAATGAAATAAAATATTCTAGAACAGAGTCTGTACAGTTCTGTGGCCTTATCATGATTTTTTGCTGAAACTTTGTGTGTGCTTACATATACAGTATGCTCAATGTCCCTGGAATAGTCTTTTCTTTTTAAAATTATTTTGGTGTTTTGTTATAAAAACTTGAAGGAAATCAAGGACAGAAAAAATTTTCTCCTTCTTAAAATGTTCTTTTCTCAAAATAAGAATAGGTTTAAGCTTAACATAATGCACATCTTAGAAGCCTCATGTTAGATTCGATTCAACAGACATTTATTATACTGAGTGCTGACTGTGTATGTTCTTCTCATTCTGCATATTTGCCCTGGTCAGTCTCATCCACTTTATTCTGACCACTTCTGAATTCATGTTTCTGGTTCCAGCCTCTTTCCTTAGCCCCAGATATGTATTTCTAACTTGTCTCATATTACTTATCTATGGGTACATCGAGTGCAATAACCCGAAAACTGGGGAGGTAGCGTTTGAACTAGGTCTTGAATGTGATTTTCGTGGGGGGGGGGGGGGGGGGTATGGACAAGGCATTCCAAACTAGAAGAAAACAGTTCAGAGATGGTACTATTTTTAACCGTATCTAGGCAAGATCTCTACTGTCCCTTGCTATGCTGTAAAATCTTATGTTCTGTGATTTTTTTTTAATTGTGGTAAAGTATTCTTAACATAAAATTTACCATTTCAGCCATTTTTAAGTATACAGTTCTGTGGCATTAAATACACTCACACTGTTACACAGTCATCACCACCACCCATCTCCAGAACATCTTTACCAACTGAAACTCTACCCATTAAACAGTAACTCCCCATTCCCCCCTCTACACGGTCCTTGGCACCTACCATTCTGTCTTCTGTCTGTATGAAATTGACTACTCCAAGTACCTCATATAAATGGAACTGTATTTATCCTTTTGTGACTGGCTTATTTCAATTATCCATTGCTGGTTTATTTGGTCAATGTTATGATTGGCTATTGGATTAACAGACTAACCCACTTAATTCAACATGTATATAGTACAAATAATGCTCTCTCAAATACATATAATGGGTGCTTTTTCTATGGACAAGTGAATTCCAAGTTCCACAGTAACATTTCGTCCCTCTTTGGCCAGTGTCTGCTTTAGTGGTAAACAATTGAGGTTCAAAGGCCTCATGGGGTGACAAAGTTGTTACTTTAGACACCAGTAATTTGTTAACACTAGGCCACAGTTCCTTCCCATTAACTAGTACAACTGTAGAGCAGTTATTCTTTAGGCATTCTGCATTTGGGAACAATTTCCTAACCCCTGACTGGCCACCCATGTTAATGGAAGACTTTAAACTTATTCCTTCGACACATTGTTCAAATGTGTGGATCCTTTTATAAGTGGAGAAGTGGAGTTTTTCCTTCAGGGACTTCCTATGTCTAAACGTTCTGGGTTTATGTTTATGGTTTACAGTCACTTGGCTCTTTTGGAATTGTAAACCAGTACGTAGATACCATCTTAGCCTTTTAAATTATTTAAGAAGCAAACCAAACACACTTATTTGCATTCTCCAACACTAACATCTTTTTACTACCAATCAAAGATAGAAGTTGTTGTCCACCAAAATAACAGGATCATAATGTCTAGTTTTTTTGTTTGTTTGTTTTGTTTGTGATTGGTGCTTTCATTGAGCTGTTGAGAACTGCTGTGGGCAAGGAACTGGTAAGAAGAGCCTCTGTGGGTTGAGCTTCCTTGAGCAGGGAGGAGCCCCACCTGCTCGCCATTCCCACCAGTGCCCACTTAGGACTCATGGCTGCCTAGCAGTCTTCTAAATGTTCAGACCTATGGTTGTCCTGCAGTAAAGGCTTGTCACCAGAAGTGGCAGTCAAAAGGAGGCAGCTAGAAAAGCTATCAGGTAGCTCTGGTCCCCTGCCTGTCTCAGAGAAGTCCTAGTTCCACTAAACAGCTTGCTTGCTGGTAGGAAGGCTTATTTTCAGATCTGGAAGTTGCTTAGTCGTAACTTTAATAACTCATTAGTATATACTGCTTTGTAAAGCCACATTTCAAGCTTTCTATGAATACTTTTCAGTGACACAAAGACAGTAAATTTCCTTATTGAATTGGTACAAACAAAAAAGCACACCTTGTTTTTAACTTGGAAAACAGGTGCTTTCATTCATGCAGAACTGCAAAACAGATAAACATGTTTTATAAGATCTTTTTCCTTTAAATGTCAAATGAGTGGGAAGCTTTCTGAATTCATATGTTAGAGTACAGCACTTGTTAGAAACAAGTGTGGCCAAAGAAAAACTTCTTAAGCTGTACGCCGTTGTAAGAACCACTTTTTTCTTCTCTTGAAAAAAGTATACATCAGGTTCTCCGTTCTCAGGTTCTGAGTGCCTAATTTGTATACATAAATATGAATTCCATGAACCACTCATAGAACTGCTCCTCTTCCCTGCCTGCTATTGTGGGTATTTATTTCCTCTCTTTCCTACTATAGACACCACTGCTAAAGACTCTCAGCTCTTTCTTCAGTTCAAGCTGCCATGCTTTGGCAGGACAGAGTGGATGTCAAGATTAGTGGAGGAGGTGGATGGGGTAGGGGAGCACTGTTCCTGTCTTTCTCTTATACACCCTACATAGTGTCAGCATCAAGGAAGGAGAATCTCTTTGTCTTCATTTAACTGAACCCTCCCTCCCCGATTCCTAACCCTAGGCCACATCCCATTCCCGAAACTACAGTGTCAACTCAACTCTGATTCTTCAACCTTCCACCATCTCCTAGGCACTCATTATTGTGTCACTAGAGGCCATTCTCTGTCTTGATAAAGTCCCAGCCCCACGGAGATGCTTGGAAATTTTCAATTGAACTCCTGAGTACTTAGAGTTTGCGGGCTACTGGCAGTAGCTTGGGAATCTTCATCCCACAGCTGGGGTTGTAAAGGTGAGAGATGTGTTCCTGGTACGTCAAGTTGAAACACAAAACGATATATTTTTTCTCTAGAAAAATTGTTAAGGTATAAATAATGAATTTCTCTGGTACTCTTCATGCTATACTAGTGATACATTTGTGTTAAGTTGCCTTTTGGGAGGACTACCTAAGGAACCTAAACACTATTTTTATGGGAAAATGCTTTCAAATTCTAAACATCTTACTTAAAAATGGACTTTTGGAACACAGTACATTCACAACTTGGCTGCTGCCAGTATAGTAAAACCAGCTCTTCCACTTCCAGTCTGCTCTGTGGTCCTGCAAAAATTCAGAGAATACAACTCATGAAATGGTATGGAGAGGTATCCCCAGTATTTCAAGCTATAGTTGGGGGAAAAAAAAGGTTTTAATGGTTTATTTTAATGTTTAACTGATAGAGCTGAGTATATGTGTGTGCGCATGTGTGTACACAGACCTGTTTTAGAATTCAAATGCATCCCCCATGACCCCCATTTCTTCTTCTTCAGGACACAGTGAAGATAATTCCATCTGGAGTAATCATTTGTTTTTAAGCTACACATTCTCTTTTTCTCATCTATTTATAACAGAGGAGAAGTAAACAGTATTCTTTCTAGGTTCCATATACGTACCAAAAATACCCACTAATCATGGCTGATAAAGGTTGTCAAGTACATTAAAACAAATGAAACCTGTAAATTGAAATCAAAATATTCAGTGTCCTCAAACTCTAAAATTGCATGGGAAGCATTTGAAATTTCTACAAGTCTCCATTTACCTCCTTTTTCCTTAACGTAACTATCATTTCCTTTCAACATCATCATTCAATGTAATAATTTAAAGATGTGGGGTTTTTTTTTCTGGGTTTTATAAAAACTACTAATAGTTTGACAGTAGCAAGCAGTACCTTTATTTGTTTAGTTATGTCATAGACTAAATATGTTAGGGGGCTTCTAAGCTCAGAACTTTAATTTTATTTGTAATGTTCTATGGGAAAATAATATATTCTGGGTCCAAGCCACTTTTTAACCTGTATTTTAGAGTCAGTGCATTAGTATGTGAGATTTAACATTTTTCCTAGTATGTTATTTTGGCTCAGGTTTGTAATTATTAAATTGTTTCATGGATTCACAGGGTTCAAAGTTATGGATAATAATGGAATACCTGGGTGGTGGTTCAGCACTGGATCTTGTAAGTATTTTAAAATAATTACGCATGCACTTGCAGCCATTCCTTAACGTTTTTCTTTTAAGTGAAGTAAGCAATGGCTTTTGGGCAAGCTAAGTGATTGCTTTAGTTAATATGTTCAAATTAAACTCTTCAGGACCATTACCCTTATGTAGATATAGTTTTATTGTAGGTTTGAGCATGTTACTGACATTCTAAGAGTATATAAGATAGGCAAATGGCTTAATAAAACAAAGTCCCCCAAATTAGGAGTGGGTGTGTGTCAATTGCTGTCAGATTTGAGTTTGACTTTTGCAATCTTATTCCAGAAAAGACTGAGTGTTCTTAGACTTTTAAAAAATATATAACTGAGATAACTGTCACTAAAAGTAGTTATGATGGACTGAATGTTTATGTCCCCCCAAAATTCATATGTTGAAATCTTAACTTCAGATGTGATGGTATTATGTGGTGGGCCTTTGGAAAGTAATTCAGTCACGAGGGTGGAACCCTCATGGATGGGATTAGTGCACTTATAAAAGAGACCCTAGAGAGCTCTGTAGCTCTCTTTCTACCATGTGAGGGTACAGTGAGAAGAAGGCCATCTGCAAACCAAGGAAGAGTACCTTCATCAGACACTGAGCTGCCAGTGCCTTGATCTTGGACTTCCTGGCATCCAGAACTGTGAGAAATAAATGTTGTTCTTTAAGCCACCCAGTCTGTGCTATTTTGTTACAGCAGTCCCAACTAAGACAGTGGTTCTAGGATTCTGACCAAGTAGGCCTACGGATCCAGTTCTCTACAGAGTTCTCTCTGCCCCTCTGTAGGTCATTTGGAAATGCGATGGCGCGCCGTGGATTATCACAACGATTTGGAAGTTCTATTGCCATTTCCATGGGCAGGGATGAGAGTGCTAAAATCCTGCCCAATGAATATGTGTTCACACACAGAATGACTTTGAGAAACACTGATTGTTTCCCCCAAGTTAGTGTGATCCTATCAATGTTGAGTTTTTCTCCCTTAAAATCCTCAGTATGACATTATATTTAAAATTCAATATGACTTACAAGAGGCAACTTTGTGTAGGAGAATGACTACTGGGCCGGATTATGAGAATCTGAGGTTATAGGGCTGGCTCTACTCATAACTAAATCTGTGATTATGAACTAGGCACATAAATTTCCCCCAGACTTGGCTGTACTACACAAAGTTGCACTAAATTATTTCTTAGTTCTCTTCCATTTTTAATATTATATGACTTAGATTTTATCTGCATGCTTCTGCCTTTGAAATTATAGAGTATGCTGTTTCTAAGAAAGTGTTTTGATTAAGATCATCGAGTAATATTTTAATTCTGTTTTTTTTTAAGCGGAGATGAGTTTTCCTAACTGAAAGTGATTAAATATTTTTAAAGGGCTTTAACCCTTACTGTCAATGATTCAAAGTTTCAAATAATCTTATGAACAAAAATGACTGTAAGGTATTTTCTTTCCTTTAGGCAGAAGGAACCATACTTAAACTATTCTAAAGAAATGGTAATAAAACTTGATGGAGAGCGTAGCCTCATCTACTAGGAATTCAATTCAGTTTAATCAGTTGCTGAGTTTGGTAATCCTTCCTTGTGTCTTATCTAATTCTTATATCTTTAAGCTTCAGTTAATTTTTTCTCTCTCTTTTTTCTAGTGAGAAAACACCACTGATGTTTCTCATATAATAATTCTTCATGCATATGGAGTCAGGCTTCATTCTCCTCTTGAAGTTAAATGATCTCATTTCTATTTGCCTTGTCACAGAGTCTTATTACACAATAGTTTGTTCATTAGCTCCACAAGAAGCTTCTCAGTTGCTCTGCAATCCTCCTTCCACTTTTGAAATATTAAGAGCCCTTTCCAAATTTATCAGTTGGGCCGGCCCGGTGGCGCATGCTACAGTGCACCGCTTGGGAGCGCAGCGGCCCTCCCGCCGAGGGTTCGGATCCCACATACAGACCGGTTCCCGCTCACTGGCTGAGCGAGGTGCGGGTGCAACACCAAGGGTTGCGATCCCGTGGCCGGTCCCGGTCCGGTACGGGCGCGACACTGAGGGTTGCGATCCGTTGCCGGTCACGAAAAAAGACAAAAAGAAAAAAAAAAAAAGATGCACTTAAAAAAATCCATCTATTATAATAATTAAAATCCAGTTCAAAAGGGGAGATGGAGGATATTTCTGATCAACAACATGAATATATTCTCTGCTTATTTCAAAGTAAATTTTCGGAAAAAAATAAGGTAAAGCCACTGTGACACAATTAGAAACCCCAGGTACCTTTCACAGGTAAACAGGGACCTTGGTTTTTTAGTACATGACAAATAATTGAAATAACCCTGACTTCAGCTTATCTTTGCATATAACAGAACACCATATTCGAAAATGATCATTATTGAGTTTTTTGGAATCAACAATTTTTTCTGTGGCTAACATGCCCCTTGATAGTCCTGAAATCTGCTGGAATGCTGGAAAGAGCTGTGTAGAATTACAAAGGGTCAGCAAGTAATTTAGGATTTTTAGTCCAATGGAATCAACATTCCTTGTATATTTTTACTTGCTTCTTTACACAATAGCTTGCTTTGACTGTAGTGTGTGTGCCTAGCTATGTCTCTTCCCCATTTTGCAAGCATTGGCAAAGCTATCACTGATATCAGGATCACTGATAGCAATGTTAAGCATTGAACACTGGCCTAACCCCAACTAACAACCCTAATCTATATCCCCTAGTAGTATTTTGGTCAGTTTTATGAAGTCTCTGAGTGAAAGGATTTTGAGATCTTAATCTCATCCTGCCATTCTGATCTCTATCTAATAGAACAAATAGCAATTAGTATAAATTCAGTGAATTAAAAATGTTAGCACAGTGTTGGTTAAGAATAAAAAGACCTAGGTGTCTATACTTTTTTGAAGTTGTTACAACAAGCAAACGGAAAGGACATTCTTGGGGGGAGGGGAGAGAGGGAGGAGGGAGGGAGGTGTCGGTGATGGGCCATAATAATCATATACATTGTATATTGACAAAATAAAAATTTAACGAAAAAAATAAAATAAAATAAAAACAAATACAACTAAAAAAAAAAAGACCTAGGTGTTAGGTCCAGTTGTTCCACTAACTAGCTAAGATTGGGCAAACCATTTAACTGCATTGTGCCTTAATTTCCTTGAATGTTAAATGAAGGAATTGGATTAGAAATCTCGTTTTGTTTTTCTAGCTCTAAAATTTAGTAATATTGTGACTCAATTGTAAACCTCATTGAACTGAACTTTATAGGGAGAGCAAATGTTGAGAAAGTGTGATCTTTCTTCTCTATGTACAGTCCTTTACAAATGGATATTATCATTTCGGGGAATCTAAGAAAGGATTAGATGTAGAGGAGGATTCTGCTACCAGGAACAAGAGAAAACAAGAGGGATGTTGAGCAGAGTGTTTCTCACTTTAAACTGGTGCCTGACCAATGGGATAACATAAGATTATGACTTATAATTTATGTCAACATTATATAGTGCGTATATCAAGAGTCCCTCCCATTCTTGGAAAAAATTAGTTGCATGGAAACAGACTTTGGGCATATTGTACATTATTTTATTGAATTTATTATACCCAACTTCTTTCCAAAAAGAATTGCGGTGGATTTACAACAAAAACACATATAATTAGGTGAATAGAATAAAACATGAGCACCAAGAAAAAAGGTGGAAACAATATTCTAACCATAAGAGAAGGCATGACATACCATAGCATGCTGCATTAGGGACTAGCTGGAAGTCAAAGGAGTGTGGGGAAAATCCATGAGCCCACAAGTGTACAGTCTTTGAAAGAGCAAATATCTTTCTCTTGTGTATCTTCACTTTTCAACAGAGGCAGATTACACAAGGTTAGTACACTGCCATGGGGGCAGAGGTGTTACCTATTAGAAACATAGCAAGGTCTTCAATCATTGGAGAGAAGTTCAAATATGCACTCCAAGGACAGTAAACCAAGATCTTGACATTATCTCTTCCAAGGTTGTATTGGAAATAATAAAAACAACCTCTGTTCCGTGTATTTTACCTTTCTTCTCTTTTAAACTCCCTTTTTTCTCCTTTTCTAATCATTTCCATTGTCTGAGGAAACATTTTAACCACAAGGTTTGGGACAGTTTTCTGTGTGATAAGGAACCAGAAAAACCCATTTCCCTGCCTGACAGTCTTTCCTTCCATCCTTCTCCAGCACCCAGTTAATTGAGATATTACTTACACTCAATTTTAAACTGAACCTAAAATACAGCAAATAAGCTAATGGGTCTTTAGGATCCCTTTTTTTGTTGTTTTCACTTATTTTTTAAAATTCTGTATTAGGTAGTATACTGGCTTATTCATGCTATGTTTCGAAGTCCTTCAGAATGATAGTACCCCCTACAGGAAACTCATTAAATTTTTTAAGTAACCAAGGGTATACCTCTTCTGGCCCTGCCAACGTCTTATGATACAGTGATACTAAGTGCTAATTCTGAGTAGTATGACATTTGTCCTTTGGATATTTGGTAGTACTTCAGAATTTCATTGCCAGCCATCAATAAAATAATATGCCATTTTTACTATTTAGAATGATTTTAATCTCTACTGTTTACATAGGATCTTTTGGCATGGAGGTTGATAGATTTGAAAGTAAGTAGATAATGTTACCTAGGAAAGGGACCTACTGAATTACAGACATCCCTGGAGTATGCAATATAGCCAGACCACAGTTAATATTAAATGGTGAGAGCGAAGTATGGGTTCTATTTTAAGCTGTTAAATTTCAACATGAAAGTACCTTTTATTCAGCATAAATATGGCATTCATGAAAGATGAAATACACAAGGTGCCAAAGAGCTGTGAATCTCTCCCAGTGTGAGGCAGAGTGGGCAGTGTTTGATTTCCACCACCTCTCTCCGCCTTCCAGCAAACAGAACTCTACCTCAGCTTTGACTTTAGATTCCCACCCTTTCCTGTAATAATATTGTACAGTCCACTGATTGTGCTTTATGAGGTACCAGAATTTTAAAATAACCATTGATTTTAAAGAGAGATTTTCAGATATTCCATTACAAGTTCTCCTGAAACCTAATCATTGCTTTCCTTGTAGTCCAGTTGGAACTACTGGCTTTGGTACAGGGATGGGGAAAGAAAGGGAAATGTGTTATGTTTATTTGAAAAACAGTATCCCTCCATGATTTGAAAATTTTTTTCAATGAAAGTCTGAATAGTTGAATTATTCTGTTCTTGGCTAAATTTAATATTTGAGTCTCAAAAAGGCTCCATTCCTTACAAATATTATTGAAACACATAAATGCTAAGAACTGTGCTACAAGAGCCAACCTATGTGATCGAATAGTTGCTGTGGAAATCTTATGGGCTGTCTGACAAAAAATCAGTTCAGTGTCAATATTTAATAACTTTTAACGGCAAATGCCAGAATTTAAGTAACTGATTTATTTTTCTCCATCTGAAAAAAAGATAACTGATTCCGTCATTATTTAAGCGTATTTGTTAAATCTTTGATATAAACAATCAGGAACCTCAGAATTTGGAGCTAGTATATAGGTAAGAGTGCTCATATTATCTTTCAAGATTAAATTTAATCATTTTTAAAAAAAACATGTCCACCCCTTTGACTTAACTCTTTTGCTTTCTTCCTGCATATTTTTAAATTTTCCTTATTTAACTAATGGCTTAATAAACAGAACTGTTTCGTATATCTAAGTGATCCTCTTATTTACAAGATATCGATTTTGAATTTTATTTTTTCAAACTTTGATACCTCTGTGTGTGTGTGTATGTGTGTGTGTGTGTGTGTTGTGTGTTGTGTGTATTTTTCCCCTTAAGCTGCGAGCTGGTCCATTTGATGAATTCCAGATTGCTACCATGCTAAAGGAAATTTTGAAAGGTCTGGACTATCTGCATTCAGAAAAGAAAATTCACCGAGACATAAAAGGTATACAAAAGTCTAATATGAACCTGAGAAAAATCGATGCATTTTGGGGAAGCTGAGGGTTTTTTTCTTTTCTTTTTTCCTCCTAGCTGCCAATGTCTTGCTCTCAGAACAAGGAGATGTTAAACTAGCTGACTTTGGAGTTGCCGGCCAACTGACAGATACACAAATAAAGAGAAATACCTTTGTGGGAACTCCATTTTGGATGGCTCCTGAAGTTATTCAGCAGTCAGCTTATGACTCAAAAGTAAAGTGTTACCTGTATAAACTCTTTTGCATTTAATAATAAATGTAATATAGCATTACTATCCTAGTCAATATACTGCCTTATTTTTCCTTCCTTTTCAAGTGTTTCTTAAGCTAGAATTATGTTATATTTTGCTGCTTAATCATAGATTCCCTTGATGCTGGTAGTATTCATTTCAATGGCTTTCCATCCCACTTGGAACGAATCCAAAGTTCTTCCTGTGATATGTAAGGATGTACATGATCTGGCTGTTGTCTGCTTTTCCGGCCTCGTCTCCTACCACTTTCTTCTGTACTCTATCTGCTTCAGCCACAGTGGCCTCATGGTTATTCCTGAAACATAGCAAGTACACTCTGGCCTCAGGACCTTTGCACTTGTTCTTCTCTCTGAAATAACCTTTCTCCCAATAAGGTCTCTGCTTAAACATCACCTATACCGAGAAGTCTTCCTAGCCATCCTATGTAAATTTGCAACCCCTTTGACCCTATCACTTATTATTTCCTTACTTTATTATTTTCTTCACATAACTTAACACCATCTGACATCATACTTATTTATTTATTTGTTTATCTGTCTCTCTCACTAGAATGTAAGCCCCTTATAAATCTGGCTTATTCACCACCTAAATTCTCTGTGCCTAGAATGGTACCTGGCACAAAGTATGGAATTCAATAAATTTTTGTTAATAAAATTCTATTAATAACAATTTATTAACAACACATTGCTTGAGATACTTTAATACTGTGTGACCATTAGATTCCACAGGCTATTTTCTGGCAGTATATTGGAATGAAGTTTCAACGTGTTATATTATTTTTTTTTTCTTTCTCTTACCTTAGGCTGACATTTGGTCATTGGGAATTACTGCTATTGAACTAGCCAAGGGAGAGCCACCTAACTCTGATATGCACCCAATGAGAGTTCTTTTTCTTATTCCAAAAAACAATCCTCCAACTCTCGTTGGAGACTTTACTAAGTCTTTTAAGGAGTTTATTGATGCTTGCCTGAACAAAGATCCATCATTTGTGAGTATACATTGTTTTTACTACTATTTATTTTCTATTAGATCTGCTTATAGCAAAGGTGGCTTTTCCTACAGTAGAGAATGTAGTGTGTGTGAAAATTGACTAGGGTCCTTCCAATTCTATTCAGTCCTTAACCATATCCTTAGTTCCTTTCTTCCTCCCTGCATCTTTTTCTTGGTCCCCAACTTCCTCCTTATTCTACTGATCATTTCCTATTTCAAGGGGAAAGAAATTTGAGAAATAAAGTTCATTTTATATTATGTCATTATTAAAAGTTATATGTATAAATAGTCACAATGATTTTATTCAGGTGTGTTTTCATAAACAGTCATGTTTGTGTTTAACTACTGTTATTTAATGTATAAAAACTACAGCGTAAAGTTGTATACTTAGTCTAGTGAGCCTCACTCATTTACTTGGCAGATTTGATTACAGTTGTTTTACTGTTGCTAAAATAAAGCTGCCTTGTGATGTCTAGAGACTAGAAATATACAAGAATTGTCTAAGCTTGATATAACTATTTTTAAGTTAATAGACATACTTCCATTAATAAAAAGCTAGAGGGGAGTATCTTCCACAGCACCTAGTTGCTTGCATTTAGATACAATAGAAATTGATGCTTGATAAAGAAGGGATTATAAAATGTATACAAATAACAACAAAATTAGGGGTTCATAGTTCATAAGATGTGCACAGATAATAAAATTACAGCCTTACTAGTTTTCATCAGTTTTTTTTTCGATTTATAGTAAATGTAATAAAAGTATTTTAAGGCATTATTTTGAAATGTTTCTAAATTTTCACTTTGCTTTCTAAATCCTGCCATGTGTTTCTCTGCTTTTGAGAAGGCTGGTAGATAGGCTACCTTCGGCCCATTGAGATTTAACACATTGAAGTACCAAAGTAGCGAATTTAATTTGATTGCCTTGAGCCACTTCTAAAACAGAATTAGCTATTTTCCCACAGCATTTTAGTTGTCCTAATGTCCACAGACTTACTTTTATACCTTTCAGCTTAATAATTCAAATGATTTTTTACCACTCCTTACAATCATAAAATAAAGAGCCTAGAAATAGTCATGCATCCTTCATTTTTTCCTTAGCGTCCCACAGCTAAAGAACTTCTGAAACACAAATTCATTGTAAAAAATTCAAAGAAGACTTCTTATCTGACTGAACTGATAGATCGATTTAAGAGATGGAAGGCAGAAGGACACAGTGATGATGAATCTGATTCCGAGGGCTCTGATTCGTACGTACAAATTATTTAATTTTTATGTAGGTAGCCCAGTTTAATATTGCATATCTTTTAGCTATGATCCAGTATGCTCATTCTAGCATAAAATATAAACCATATTCTGAGGTTTCACCTTAGAAACTGTGAAAGTCTTTTTCAATCATAGTTCTGTGGAATACAATGAATTTAAAAACACATTTTTCTTGGAAGTGAATAGCTCTAGTTTTAAATGGTCTCGGTCTAACCCCTAGTGGATACTTGAGTATATTACAAAATTTTGGAGCAGGATTCGATTATATAGGTGTTTTATTAGTTTTTCCAAAGTAATAAGGAGCTATGTCTTCTCATACTTGATGATAACCTGCAAAATCCCTGTGGAGAACTGACCTCCATGCCTTTCCCACCTCTTGGCCACGTACCAAACCATGATCAGACTGGTTTATTTAAATATTTATGTATGATTTTTACCCCCTTAAAAAGGCTACAGTGTTTTTTAACGGCAGCATTTACATTAATAATTTAGCCTCTGAGTCCCTAACTTAATTTAGACTAGGAGAGTCTATAGGCTACACCAGAATTTACTCCTTCAGTGGCTGAACTGGCACAATAGCAAAACCAAATTTCTTTAGATGATACTTGCACATTCCTACATTTATGAGAAACTGCCCAACATTTGAAAGGAATAAAAAATATCCGTGTAGTTTATACCCTGTTCTAAAGGTTGTTAGCTTTTGCTGTACATGAGAGTCACCCATAGAGCCTTAGAATCACAAGCCATGCTACTGGAGATGCTGATTCATTTAGTATGGAGCTGAGGGGACAGATATTTATATGTGGTAGGAGGTCTCCACCTGGGATCCTGATGTACACTTAGAGTTGAGAACCACTGCTGCTCTTTAGTAAAATGTAATATCCACCTGAAATTGATATCAAATGCTTTTTAATACTATGAGTTTTTAAACTTTGGGACAATTATCTCTTCAGATTTTGCCTGCATTGATTTGATGTTTTCACCAAACTGAATTATTTAGGAATTTATAGAGGTACCTTTGGTAATCTCTTTAGGGAATCCACCAGCAGGGAAAATAATACTCATCCTGAATGGAGTTTTACCACCGTGCGAAAGAAGCCTGATCCAAAGAAACTGCAGAATGGGGCAGTACGTACATGGAGATGGTCACTTCCTCCTAACAGACTTTTTCAAACTATGTAGTGAGATTATAATGGCCAAAACCTGTTACAATTCAATAGGCCTAAATGCCTGTCTGTCTCACTATGTATATAGTATGCTTTGTCATTAGTTTTGAACTAATTAAGGTAGTAGAAATTATTTAAGTGGCTTGGTATTTTTAAAATGCATTTCATCTAGAGATACATAAGCCCAAGGAATCATAGATAGCTATTGTAATCCTAGAAGTTGAGAGACCTTCTGGATGATGGATGGGAATTAGTGATGGGAAGAATGCATAGGGAGTTGCCTTATATCGGTTCTTTTGGGGGGAAGGGGGATTCAAATTAGTCCATATTTCTTTTAAAATAACTAAGACAGATATGAATGATCATTTTCATTTCATGTGTATAATCTATATTATTTGTTCAAAGGAGCAAGATCTTGTGCAAACCCTCAGCTGTTTGTCTATGATAATAACACCTGCGTTTGCTGAAGTAAGTGCAGATTCATTAGCATTGGATGTGTATTTTAAGTAGTATAGTGTTTTAAATACTATAGCTATTGATCTTTCTCAGCTTAAACAGCAGGATGAGAATAATGCTAGCAGGAATCAGGCAATTGAAGAACTCGAGAAAAGTATTGCTGTGGCTGAAGCTGCCTGTCCTGGCATCACAGATAAAATGGTGAAGAAATTAATTGAAAAATTTCAAAAGTAAGCTTGAAATGTAATTTTAAAAATTATTTTGATATTTTCTGTTGGGTGTCAATTTATGCTGCAATATAATTATCTTGATTTCAATCATTTCAGTTATTCCTAACAAAGTCACTGTTTAATAGTCGTATGCTTGAAAACAGTTTGGTTTGTTACTCCTTTTAGATACTAGCTTTTGGAATTATTATCTTTAGGCAGGACCAAGGTAGTTTTCCACTGAATGAAATAGTGTGGTTTTTCTTTCCCTGGTAGTAAGAGTACAGTAGAGACAAAAGGTCACTGAGCATATTCTTATTTGGGCCCTTGTAAACATTATTTAAGAATGCTTCCATTCTTGCCACTACCCTCAGTATTTGAAGAAACACAACTATGCACATAGTTTCGAGTGCTAAAGTTCCTAAGTGTGACTCCCATATGAAAAGTTAAGGGAAGGACTTTAGGGAGAGGATCTCAATCCAGATGATTAAAAGCCTTTATGTTTGACTTTAGTTTCTATACTGACTCGAACTATTCGTTTGATTTTATTCACATTCATAAAAGTTCTTACATTTAATTTTAAAATTCTTTTTTAAACAAGACTTTTGTATGCATTCAAACACATACACTTCCTTAGCTCAAGCAAGCTATAAAGCAATGCTGATTTTATCACACACTATCAAAGATCTTTCTATTTGATAAAGCCCACTTGTACTCATAAACTAAAGCTCCTCTTAAAATCCCTTAGATTTTAATGGATAACTACCACCTGTTTTCCAGTTTGCAAACAAATCAATTGGAATTGTAAAACCAGATGCAGAAGGGATTTTTCAAGTTGTTTATATTTTAATATCTACATGAGATTCATCTTGTTTGCTGAATCAGTTCCTACCTTGCAGAGTTCATACAAATGAAAAATATAAACATGTATGGTTGTACATCAGTTTAAGTTTTTCTTATTTTATAGGTGTTCGGCCGATGAATCTCCCTAAGAAACTTGTTACTGGCTTCTGTTTCATATGGACCCAGAGAGACCCACTTAAGCTACTTCAAGCTTAACAATGCTTAACTCATGAGCTCCATGTGCCTTTTGGATCTTTGCAACATTGAAGATTTGGAAGAAGCTATTCAACTATTTTGTGATGGTGTTTATCATTTTATATTTTAAAGAGATTATTTTGTAAGGAATAACTTTTAATACTATAGTTTCACCTGTATTTTAGTAATTGTTGAGATACAGTTTTGCTTTTAGGTATTATTATTTTTTTAAGTTACTAGGATGAATACCTTTCATGGTTTAACCTTTAGTTAACTGTACACTCATGAAACGTACAGGTCTTTCAAAGTCATCCTAAGTATTCAACTTTTATAAATCATCAAGCTTCATAAAGCTTTTTTTACACAAGCATATTTTAAAAATGACTATTGGTGGTAAGGTAGAGATAATCATACCTTCTTAAAACAGAAGTTTTAAATAAGCTGTTGGAAATGAATCCTGGAAAAGTATTGACTCATCTACCAAGGTGGAATATTCCAGGCGGCTCAATGATGATCACATTTGAGATCTCTGTGTTTGAAGCATTTTCAGGCAACATGTAGCAACAGAGGTACCTCTTGGTGTGCAGTATTTACCTTCTCATTTAGATGAAAGAGGCATTTAATTTTTATTTAACATGATTAGAAATGTAAAGCAATATCATTTAGCCAAGGATGAGTTTTTGGTAATACTGGAGGAATTAGTTTGGTTTCATTTTTTTTAAATCTTCAGCTCAAATTGCTTATTATATGTTTGGATTTGGAGAGCTTAAAAAAAAAATGATTGTCATGTGATTAAATACCTGATCAGCAGGTATGAATATAACTCACACCAGCATATTTTTTTCATGGTAGTAAATTGTCCTATAAACTATTTATACATTTTTGTCCTTCATAATTATTAGTACATAAGCATCATTTCTTAATTTTTAAAAGGGTATTTAAAGAAGCATTTTCTAGTTCATATGAAAATAACCATAGTACAGGATGATTTCTGTCCATATGAAGGTAAGTTAGACTGTACAGTTGATTTTCAGTTGTATTTATGGTACTGTTGAGTGGGTAATACCTTTTTCTTTTAAGCCCAGTATATATATTATGCCTGCCTAAGTTCTGAACTGGGGCTATATTTCTGTAGTTGTAGAATTATTGATGTTAATTAGTTTTTGTAGTTTGGATCTGCACATTTTGGTTTTTGCACAAAAGTCATTTTTTTTAATTGCCAAATATTAGAAGAAAGATTTCTTCATGTAAAGAATACATTTTTAGTCAAAGTAGCCATTACATCCTTTTTAAAAAAATAATGAAGACACTTGAGAAAGTTATTGTGGTGTCAAATGCCAAGAAAATACTTTTCGTTGGTGCCTATGCTGTAATAATTACTTTTAACACATTGTATTTTGAAGTCAAGGTTCAGTTAAATTTTTCACCTGCTGTTTAACAAACTCAATTACAGTTTATAATTTGTAGAGGTCTGGAAATAATTTTGCAACTCATATCATAGATTAAATGAATATTTTTGTAAAAGTAAAAGCGATAAATTTATTATTTGAAAGTTTACAACACAACTGCATCACAGACACAAATTGTATTGCTTATTCAGTATAGTTACTAGTTCTGTAAACTGTTTCTAGGTGAAGCATACTTTAGTGTTTGGGGGATTTTAAAAATAAATATTTAAATTTCATGGTCTTCAGTGTTTATTTTCTTGAGAAGGGCTGTGGTGTGATATATTTGTTTCAAATTATTTCTACTTTACCCTTTAATGTTGGAACACTAAAACCAGAGTTTCTGTTGGAAAGTAGAAGATACTCTCCATATTTTATTAAGCATTAATTATAGCTACAGTGAACATCTCTCCTGATTTTTGCCTCCTTGACAAAATTATTGACAAAATTATTAATAAAGTCCTTTCACTCAAATGTCCTGGGTAGGACAATAAATTATATGATCACCTTTGTTTTATTAAAAGGTCATATACAGATTTGAACCCTATAGTTCTCCAAGGAAAACATAAATTTAGCAAATATTTTCAGAAATTGATATAATAATAGCATATAGCATAAAAGAGTTTGAATTTTTTCTAGAGAAAAGGTTGAGGGTGAATTTAATATAGCTTCAAGGATCTATAGAATTTATGGGTGATCGGACTGCAATATATTCTTATTAAGTAGCTACTCTAGACTTGTGACTTACTGGATAGGAGTCCACGAGTGGGAAGGAAACTGCTAGAATGTAAGAGGGGGGTGCAATGAGGTATATTAAAAGGGATTTTTTCTCAGTGTATATTGACAAAATAAAAAAAAAAATAAAATAAAGGATGAATGGTAAAATAAATAAATAAATAAATAAATAAATAAAATAAAAAGGATTTTTTCTGATGTAAGTACTAGGACGGTGAGGAAAGTATTCCATCCATCTTTTCTCCTTTATCTATAGAAATAGCTTGCCTATATAATTGCATCATTTCTTTGAAGTTAGTACTTAACGTTATTTTGTAAATATGTTGGGCTTAACATTAAAATCAATAAACAAAATTAAGTACTCAAATAGAATACTATACCTTCCAGGAGGACTAGGAGAGAAATTTTGAATGGGTCAAGAACAGAATTTTGGTTCATGAATTCAGCCTGGTGCCAGTATTATTCTTTTTCTTTTCAGCTACCCATCAATTCTACCACTTCTCCACCCCTGACCATACATTTTCATTTGCCTGTATCCCTTTTCTTAGTAATAGGCCAGAACCAATCACGTCTGAAATTGATTAGAACAAAAGGAAAACCATACTTGTAACTTATCTTTTAATTTAATGGATTTTCCATCACTCTTTATTAAAAGAACACTCATCTCATTTCTTTGCCTGCATGCATTTAACAAGATATGGCAAAAAATAAATTCTGGCAGGAAGATTAGATAAATATACTGACCTATCATGTTTATCTTCCGCTATATGTAATAAATAGATAGTTAAGAATATAGAGGTTATAAGTCAAACATATCCTCATCAGGCATATATTTGGCTTTAGAAATTGATTTAATTCATGAATTTCCTAGGTTTAGAATTCTACCAGTCCTACATTAATTCCAATCTTGTGTTCTGTTGAGAGGATCTATGCCTCCACCTTGTTTCTGAGGCTGTAAAAAGACCATGTCCCCCTACATATGTTATAAAAATTGAAGTCCTTAACATACAACACAACTTTTTACTGGGCCCCACGCAGATCATGAGGACTGAAACCTTTGTTCAGTATTAGTTAAGAACAAAATGATCAACACAGTCACAATCTACTAAATAAATGTCATTAGAAGCCAATTTGATATGCCACCCATTCTTTCACCATTCAGTGTTGAAGATTCTGAACTTCATTTGTAATGTCTTTATGAGGAAATGTATAATGGAGATGACAAATACCCACTTCACCCCACCACAGTGCTGGTGAGGAGAGAATGTTCCAGAGTCCCTTCAGAGAGCACAGAAGAGTGAAGCTCGAGGAATGATGCAGCAGCTGGATCTTTCAAGCTAGGTGCCCAAACTTAGATGAATCCCTTAATGCCAATGAATAGTAGCTATGAAAACCATTTATGTAAAAGGTTCCTTATTTCCCCCCTGAGTTGGTAACATGGAACTGGCCCATAAATGTTCAAAGAGTTCACACTTTTAAGCTAAAAAGTAATTACATGGTTTTAGCAAAGTCCTGTCTTCAGCAGGTGGTGTGTTGAAAGAAACATCTTCCTCTTCTTCATCTAGCTGTAGACTACCAGAAGACAAGCGGATTCTGGCCATGGGTGACCTTATTCCTTTGCCATACAAAGAGTAGTAGTCTGGTTTCAGAATCTCTGATTCAGAATCACTGGATTCACTAGCTACATACCTTTCTGCTGTACTCTGATCCACTAGAACCGCTGGAAACTCCTGCTCTGCAAACATGCATGTAAACAGGTCTGCTTTACGACTCAGAGAAGGACAAGGCCCTAAAGGCCTAAATTCTGACCCAAAAGGAAAACGAATAGTTTTCATGTCTGATTGGCTCTGGGACCGTTTAGGGGTTTGCTCTTGAATGTTATATGCAAATGCATCTTCCAAATTTGGGTCTTCCTCTTCTAGATCTACACTGATTTTGCTCTTACCACTAGTCCTGCCCATAGCTTCTTGGAGTTCTTGAAGGTCTTGCTGAAAGCTCTTCATTCGGATATTTCTTGGGCTTCTTTTGGCTGACTTTATTGCAGTGGGCTCTATATAAATTTCTGGTCTTACCCTTTCCTCTGCCATGATTGGAGATCGTCTGGGCACCTGGGGTGGCTTGTCCACATAAAAAAAGACTTGGGGAGGCATGATATCAACTTGCTGACTGGTACAAGGAATATAGGGGACATCTGTGTAAGTTAGCTGCCTTGCTGGACTCACTTTGCTCGTGAGGCCAGAAGATGTGCCCATGTGATTGTCAGCAAACTTACGGCTTGTTTGGAAGGAGCTTAGAGGACTCCTCTCCTCAAAGAAGTCTCTGGGATCAGGATCAGTGTTAAAGACAGGGTCTGTGTAAATAAAATGGAAAGAAGAACTGCTTTGGGACTGCTGTAATGATGTGGGATCTGCCTCCAGTTTGGAACGCTCCAGCTCAGCTGCAAATGTCACCTCCACTGCAGAGTTCCTCCTCCTGCTGTCTAGCACAGGCTCAGATGCATGCACTCCATTCATGTTTCGGTAGTACCCACTGCCATATGGTAGCCCCAATTCTTCCACCTTGAGAGAAAGGACATGTTGGTGAAAGAAGGAAAAAGCCATTTGGTTGGGGTGGGGGCAAAAGCCTTGAACTCTGAAAAGGCAGTTTTCCACAAAGTCATTTCAATCCATGTTCAATTCCAGGGTTGATACACAGAAAGGGTAATAGCTTGTATCATATCCCAATTCATGTGGTTAAAAGCATATGTTACACTTTTTTTTTTTCTCAATGCCATCTAACTTCCAGCCTCCAAGTTTATGTACTTCAGGCAGAATTGTACTTCTAGCAGTTTGGTTCAGTAGCTATATCAATGAACCAGAAGTCCTGCCTGCTATTCCTGGCTCTGTCTTTGACAAGTCTCCTAACCTTCCTGCTCTAGCCTCCTCCCTATTTTCTGTAAAATGGTCGGGAGGAGGACTATGAATGGCATGAGAGGTTTATATACTAGATGGTCTCTTTCATCATCATACGTCTGATGCCTTTTGGATAAAAAGTTTGTGACCTGACTAAAGGCATGAGAGTTTATGAAACCTATAATTAATTTTTTTTTAGGGAGAGCAAAAGAAAAATAATTCACGAGATACATACTCTAAAACTCAAATGAAGCCAGTATCTCACAGTTCAAGGGAAACAACACTTTGTCCTTAAGTTATAAAATTACACAGCAAAAATACTTTATAACCTTAACACAAGACCTTTTACCTTCTTCTAAGGCTTACGATTTTCATAGGTAAAAAAGCAGAGATTTTAGATAGAAATTCATTTGGATCTGTATTTTGCACGATGTTTGCAATACAGGTTGCAATTTGAAGATGTGCCAGATCCTTCCAGTCTATAAGGTACACACCAGTGGCAGTTTACTAAATGGCTTTCTATTGGCAGAAAAGCCTGAGCTGACAGAACCCCCCAGAAGGCTAATCTACTGGAACAGAGTAACCTTTTTACACACTGGGAGATTCTGGCAGAATCAATTCTTGGAAGCATTTGAAATTTGAACGAATTACATTTATCTAAAGAAGTGGGTGTTTTCCAAAAACTTACTTGTTTTGACACATCAGAGAGGAGGTCTGGCGAGGACCTGCACTGTCGTTCATGGTACTGAGACGGGTAATGTTTCCTGAAATCCCCAAACAGAGAAGTCATTGAAATGGCTTTCATGTGAATTTCAGGATACTTATAAATCTCTAAATTCAACTTAAAATCAGAATGAGATAGAAGTAGCGAGAAAAGTAGTTACCAGAGGCTGTGAAGGGAAGGGATCAGAGGGATAGAGGAAGATATCAGTCAACGGGTACAAAGTTACAGTTAGGAGGAAAAAATTCTGGTGCTCTGTCGCACAATAGGGTGACTATAGTTAACAACATTGTATTATATGTTTCAAAATAGCTAGAAGAGAAGATTTTGAATGTTATCACCACAAATGATAAATGCATGAGATGATGGGTATGCTCAATAGCCTGATTTGATTATTATGCAATACATATATTGAAACATGATACTGTACCCCATAAATATGTACAATTATTTTGTGTCAAAAAAAAAAGTCAACATGAGAGAAACAAAAGCATGTACCTTTCAAATGGTAAGCTCTTCAACCTCCCTTTTTTCCCATATTCCAAAAGTTGCCTTTGGGTTCTTCCACTATTATCAGAAGAAGATGAAAATCATTAATACCAGTCATAAGCCAATAGACTAGTAAAACTCAAAAGCTTCATTTGTTGTTAAAATGAAAAGAGTCTGGATGAATGACATATGTTGTAAATCTTCGACCATCACATTAAAGGTTAACACCCACTTATCCAAGGACCAGGCACAGAGCAACCTCAGCTACTCAGAACCCAGGAAATGTTTAAAAGCTTCTGAACGGGGCTAGATAACAGTTAAATCTGGGCTTAAAAACTAATATGCTTTCCTTTAAAGGCCTTTCCCCTCCCTTCAAATCAGAGTCAAATGACTTATTTAATACCTACTTCTCATAAGGCTATTTATCTGGTTTCCCAATCCATGGCAGAACAAAAGCAGCTAACTAAATAGCAGAAGAGGATTGCTCGAGTCAGACGTACACTAGCTAAGAAAGCCACCTGACTGCTGGAAGAAACATAAGAGCCAAAAAAAATCACAAGAATAATAAGACCCCAAAAGTCTGGGCCTTTTATCACTGAAGAACAGGGCCTGCCATGCCTCCCCCACGCTGAGGCCACTGCACTACAGCTGCCCGAAGAGGATAATGAGTGATGCTTATAATAACTCAGATCATTAAGAAAAGGGCAAAATATGCTCAGTATCATCTGTATTTGGAGAATACAATCTGGAAAGATTCCATCAAAAATATGTAAGTTTTTTAGATCTCAATTCTTACTGGGGCAAGCTCCCACTATTTGAAAAATCAGTTATGTGGAAGCACTTGATTAGAATTTTTTATCTTAGCTAAGAGTTCTGAAAGCTTCTTCCAAATAATTCCTAGGCTGGGATGTACAACTAAAAACAAAATCTTCATTTGGCCTCGCTTTCATGCCTCCACAGAGTGACCTGTGGTGAGAAGCCTCTAGTGCAATATTGCTCCATCTTTTTAATCCCTTATCCCCTCCAGTGCTCTCTTTTGCCTAACCATGACCAAAAGGATGTTTGGTGAGCTCTCCTTTCCGTGGCTTGCATATTCGATGGATATAAGGGAAACAATAGGTTCGTTGAATACATTTTCTCAAACTGCTTACATTCCTCCCATCCTTGCTGAGATTCTGATCCAAACCCCTAGGTAAGGTGCTCCCCTCCCCCCAGCCTCCCAGTTAGGGAACATTGACTTAATGTGTCACCCAGAGAATGAACAGTAAAGGGTGTAATCTTTCAAGTGATTGAAATGGATTCTTTACTGCTTCCTGAATTCGAATTTCTCCCGTTTCCCACGTTACTGAAAGGAAGCAGTGTGTGTAGTTTGCCTATGTGCAATATTTAATTACCTATAGCGGAAACTGGAACCCTTGCTGCAGAGTAGGGTTTTGGGCTTTGATTTGGGCTCTTCAGAGAGCCTGAAGAAAGCATGGTATTCTACACAAGTCTTCCAGAAAGCCTTGCAGGCATCTCGGCTGGCCATGGTGAACTCCAAGGTGTCTTTGCACAACACCTGCATAAACCAAATTCCATCAAGCAAAACATCCTTCAAAAATATCAAAGACCTTCAAATCCCAATGCCTTCCAAACTATCGGTCCAGGGGCCCATGCCGCTTCTGATTTTCCACTTGGATTCCTTGTAGGCTTCACACCTACTAAAACCAAATGATTGGCAACCTTCCAAGGAACAGACGGGGCCACTACTCACAAACAGAGCCTTCTCTAAGAAGCAAATCTTGCTTTCTGCACTCCCTCACCGTAAACACTATTTTACCCCCTCTTCTCTACCAGGAACACTTTTATGAAGTTGTAAATTAGGTTAAAATAAACATCAAAGGTACCTTTCAAGGTGACAAGAAGTTATAAATGACCAGCAGGAAAGGGGACGGAGGAGGAGATTTCCTTACAGATGGAAAGGTTTGTAGCACGATTACAGGTACACAAGTCTTTTTAATGTACCAGCTAGAAACACTTCCTCTATACACTGCTCTGTATTGCTCATTTAGCATATGCTAATCTGTCCGAGGGGATTATTTTCCAGACTAAGCTTCCAGACCTAAAGTTCAAGTTTTCCCCATCCCCCAACTCACTATTTACCCCCATTAGCCCAAGGATACATGCATGTTTGCAGCCCTGTTTCAGGAGCCTCACCAACCCACTGTGCGGATCCCCCTCTCTCATTCCTTTCCAGATTCTTGCTTGCAGCCCTGGTGCTCTCCCTGAGCTCCCCACCATATCTCTTGAATTGCTCAAATGAACAGTTTTATACATGGCTGAGATCCAGAGAATAAAGCCCAAACTACTGGATCTTCTGTAAGTCAAAAATTAGTTGATATACCTTTTTCATTTCCTATCTGGTCACAAAAGAACATCCTATCTACCACCTTTATCTCACCCTGTGCAATCCAGCCTTGCCCAATAATTGCTTCTTTTGATCACATGTATACCTACCGCCCACATCCTGCTTGACTTTGGCACATAGTAGATGTTCGATAATTTTTGTGTAAGGAAAGTGGGTGAAGATACTTTATAAAATGGACCTGATAACATCAAATACATCCTAGATCTGGTCACTCCCATTTGACTCATCAAATCCCTTGAAAAGTTTTCCATGGAGACTTGTCTTTCAGCCCAGCTACCCCATTTTCCTATTACTTTATTCATTCCAAACTGCCAATCAGACTTTTTAGTGTTTTGCCTTTAGTAAAAATATGACTAAAGCTCTGGTGTATTTATGTAGAGGCAAAAGAGGGGGCACATCACCTCTCAGAGCCAGTCAGCTTTCACCACTCATATGTAAATCATTTGCAGAAAAAAAACAAGAAATTTCAAGTGAACAGAAATTAAAAGAATTTATTAGAAAGCTACTTACCAAGATATTGGCATGAAGTTTGATGAGAAAATGCTTTCTCTTAAAACTCAACTTGCGAATTTTAGCCCAGTTAAAGGTATTGATCTTTGTATTTCCCTATAATGAAAAGTGTGGCAGATTTCAGAATGTGTCAGCACAAGTTGGTTTGCAAGACAGTGCAAACAGGATAGAAAATGCACTTCATGAATGGGACCATTGTCGACCTATCTCTTGCACAGATTGATCCTGTCCCACTAGCATTCCAGATGGGACACGAGGTTGCTCTGGAATGCAAGCAAGGATGGTTTTCCCCGGGGGAGGTTTCTAGCCAGGACAGGGAGGTCACAGTAGGAAAGGATTGCTGCAATAGCTTCTCTAATCTCATCCCTTTCTCACATTTTCAGATTCAACTGATAAAAAAAATGTCCTATATCTCCTGCCACCCCACTTACTCAAACACCTTCAGTAGCTCCTCACTGCCTGCATCGTCCAGTCTTGGCTAGATTTCACTGCCCCATTTACACTGAATATACAACCTTCTCTCCCACTGCTCCTCCAAAACATCCTTCTGTCCAACTTTGTACCTTCCCTCCTGTAGTCTCCCAATTCTCCTTACCCAGAATGACTTCCACATAGTCAAGCCTTCTTGCCAGTTTTGATAGCACCTTCTCTAGCATATTCTATCTAGCTACTGAAGCCTACACCTATTTCTAACTCCCCTAAACTCCCTGGCCTCTCCTGGTCTCTGCTCAAACATCTTAGCTTTTTCATTTGTTGTTTGTTCAACAGGTAATCCGTTCACACAGTCCAAAAATCAGAGGTGGGCAGAGAGATATATACTGAGAAGTCTCACTCCCACCACTGTCACTCCTACATCTGTCTCTGTTTATCCTTTCTCTCCAAGGAACCACATTTCTTAGTTGTTTGTGTATACTTGTTATGCAACTACAGGTGTATACGATAGATTAGCTGTTGATTACTTACTGTCTCATACTGATCGCTACCTTTCTGGTCTCTCCAAATAAACTGTAAGCACCTTAATGGCAGGAACCACGTCTAATGCTTAATGCTAGTTTCTTGATGATGCCATGCTGTATTCTTCTCAGGGCCTTTGTTTGTCCTTTCTCTGGAATACCTTCCCTCACCTCCCTCCCAACACTATCCCTCTGGCCTGTATAACTTCCTCGGATCTCAGCTTCAATGTTAAGCCCCTCTCACCTGCATTACCTTAGGACCCCATACTTCTAGCACAAAGCACATCGTATTTATTTGTAATTACTTCTTTAATTGTCTGTCTTCCCCCTATTAGAATTCAAGTTTCATGAAGTCAGGATCATTGTCATTTACCTCTGTAGCTCTAGTGTCTGGCACAGAATAGATGCACAATAAATATACCAAAAATGGATGAATGAATACATGGTTGTCCAACCCGATAAATATACTAAACACAATTGAACTGTACAGTTTAAAACAGGTGAATTGTATGGCATGCAAATTATATCTCAATAAAGCTGGGGGCGGTTAAGAAAGAAAGATTATGATGAAGTACATATAAAAGGTGCTCAATATGTAAGTATCTATTCTTTGGATTTGGGGTATGGACAACAGATACTCTAATTAAGAACAGCTATATTGTTTTTAACTGTCCACAGTAGTATTTACACTGAAAGAAATCACAACCACCACCATGGCCTTGCTCCCCTACCCTCCCCATCTTCTATGCAGTAGGAAATGGTGGATCAGGCATTACAGCAGAATGTGCAACAAGTCCCTCCTGGGAGAACAGGTCTTTTGCCACATAGTGTGACTCTCATGCTGAAAACTTTATAACCAAATGTCAGGCTAAGGCTCAGACCCTTCAAACGCATTGAACAGACTGGGTCACAGACCCCTCATATACCTGCTGGGTCACCAGACCTCTCACATACAGGTCACGAGCTAGGTAACTGGGAAGGATCCCAGGAGCCGTTGACAGAGGTGACATATTCATTCCAATGCGAGCTCAGTCCTCAGCTTCCTCAGCTGCAGCAGCCTCCAGCTGCAGTAGTGGTGGCCTCCCGGGCGCCCTGGCACCAACAGCTTGCAGCAACAGCCTGCAGCAGCAGTAGTGGCCTCCCCGTGCCCCCCACCCCAACCCCAGGTCACCCTGGGGGTGGGGGGTGCGGGCCACTGTGGATCAGAGCCACTCATCCTTTATACTTAAGTCTGATAACCCAGGAACACCTGGGTGGAGTCAAACACCCAAAGAACACCTGGGCACACATGCACAATTACATCAGACAATAACCAAGGAACACCTGCACACACGTGCATATTTACATCAGATGCTCAGCAAGATTCTGAACATCTGAGGGACCCTGACTATTTACCTTCACTTTCCCTACACCAAATAAATGAGAAGGCTCAGATTTTCCTAGCTGAGTGCATACCTAGCCTACTTGGTGACTTACTTCAGTGCTCTAATTCAGTCTTGGGGGTCAGTGTGTCTGAGGTCATCCTTTCCTCTCTCACAAGTGATTTATTCACAAACCTGCTTAGGTGTAGGGAAAGTAAATGTAAATGGTCAGGGTCCCTCAGATGTTCAGAATCTTGCTGAGCTTTTGATGTAAATATGCACGTGCACCCAGGTGTTCCTTGGTTATTGTCTAATGTAATTGCCATGTGCACCCAGGTGTCCTGGGTTATGGACTTAAGTATAAAGGATGAGTTGCTCTGATCCACAGGGCCTCCCCCCCCCGGGATGTCCCCAGAGGGGCCATGGGGAGGCCGCTACTGCTGCTGTTGCTGCCAGTGCTCCCGGGATGCCCCGAGAGGCCACCACCACTGCTGCTTCTGCTACTATAAGCTGCTGCTGCTACTGAGGACTGAGCTCGTGTCGTCTGCCAATGGCTTCTAGGATCTTTCCGAATTACCTAGCGTGGACCTGTGTGTGAGGGGTCTATGACCCAGCCTGGCATGTGAGGGTTCTGGGGACCCAGTCTGTACAATGGGTTTGAAGGGTCTGAGCCCTAACTGTTGCTGCAACCCTACAATTAGCATAGTCAGGTAGCTTTACACTAGGTATCTGCCTATCATACTTCTATCAATCTGAAGTTTAGTCAGGTGTCCTTGAACCTTAACTTGGAGGTAACGTCGCTGAATGTTCAGAGATATGAGAAGACCCAATAGACTGAAAAACTGCTGAAAACAGCCTCTGGTGAAGTCCCCTGGGGTGAGGATTAATGATGACGGAAGACCAGAAGGCCCTGAGTTAGTTTCTAACCTGGAAAGCAAAAATTCTGGGTAAAGCATGAGCCCCTAAAAAGCAACAGTTGCAGGCAGGGTTGGGTGCTAATTCTCTGCCAACTAGCACTGGGCACCTCAATGAAACCAGTCACTGAACAAGAACACACCACTTTTGGGACCCCCTGGAGTATCTCTGGAGGATTTGGATAGAGTGAAATGCACTTTGTGTCACAGCCCAAGATTTTAGTGCCAAAATCCACCGGTCCAGAAGTTCCAAAGAGCCTCTTGACTTTACCTCTCCACCATGCTGGCCTAATCTAACACAGAAGCCCCTCAGAATCAACACAGTCAATTATAGGCTGCACATGGAAGCAAAGTACACTGAGGGGAGAGAACTTACCTAGGACATTTCCAAGCATTACTTTCATTTCTGGCTGGTAGTAAGACTGAGGGGTAGGACCACCTTGGGAATGAACACCCAAGTTTGAGCCAAAGATATTCCCCCGAGCAGAAGGGCTTGAAAAGAAAGTTATTACCCGTAACACGAGTACTCCCATGTGGGCCACAGCCAGGTGAATCTGCATCCCTTCGCCATCACTGGCGGGGTGAGGCCTGATGCCATACATATCCAGCTTCCTCGCTATGTCCAGCAGCAGAATGTCAGATTCAGCTGGGCTCCTGCCGCTGCAAGGAGAAAGAATTTATGAGCCTAATAAACGCTGAAAAATGACACTTCTATCCTGAGAGCTCCACGAGGATCTCAGTGTTTTCTAGAGCCTGAAGCTTCTCGGGCTCAAGGGCTTGCTTTTAAGAGTCTGTCCACACCCAGCTTTAGCATTCTCTTCTGGAAGAAGCAAGTGCTAATTAAAGTACTTACATGTGCTTCTGATGAAAGTGCATGATCTTGCTCTCTAAACAGTCTTGGTTTGGTAAGTACCGGGTTTGTGCCAGATGTTTCCTATCTGTTTCTTCATGAAAGTCTCCTAGCTCTGCTGCATGACAGAAAAAGTGACATTTTTCACGTTACCATTGAGGACTTAAGGAGCGGAGCACCCAGCATACCCTCTGACATCTCCCAAACAGCCCTTCTTTGCAGCCAGAGCACTCCCATGCCTCCTACCTTGTGCTTGATGTATATTTATGTTCCTACGGGGGGAACCAACTGTCTCTTTGTAAAATAGGAAGAAGTGGTTTGCTATGAGGTCTTGGTATAGTAAGTCACAGATTCAGTGTAGGCCTTAAAGGCTCCAAAACAAATATTTTTTGTTAGGTTTTTTTCCCTCCGCATTCCGTATATGATCTCTCCTACTTCCAGTCAGCCCCTGTTATAGGTTGAATTGTGTCCCCCCCCCCAATTCCTGTGTTGAAGCCCTAACCCCCCAGCACCACAGAATGTGACTATATTTGGAGATAGAGGCTTTAAAGAGGTGACTGAGTTGAGATGAGACCATTAGGGCCAATCCGACTGGTGTTCTTTTAAGAAAAGGAAATTTGGACACACAGAGAGACACTAGGTATGTGAGCATGTAGAGAAAAGACCAGTAAGGACACAGCAAAAGACAGCCATCTGCAAGCCAAGGAGACAGGCCTCAGAACAAACCAAACCTGCGACACCTTGATCTTAGACTTCTAGCCTCCAAAAGTGAGAGAAAAAAATATTTCTGTCATACAAGCCACCCAGTCTCTGGTATTTTGTTATGGCAGCCCTAGATAACTAATGCAACTCCACAATTTCACTCCACCCTGATCATAGATTATCAAGAAAGGGCAACATCGATGCCAACTATAGTGTGAGCCAGTCACAGCCAACACAGAACTCCATACGCTGGAAATCTAGTAAATTCCCAGCAATCTGGAATCTCCAAGAGATGAATCATTCTGGGAATCATTCCTGCTTTTCTATATAGCTGGAAATTTATCCATGATAGTAATTTACTCTTTTCTAAATGTCTCAGTTTAGTGTTATAAACATCTGTTATAGCACTATGCCTACAAAGGCACCTGAGGTATTTAGGATTATCTGCCCCTAACGTAAGTGGCCTCAGACTATTTTCATTTTTGAATTCTTTGTCTTCTTCATAATTTTTATGCCTCCTCCCTCTCTGTCAAATTTGTATGAATCATTTCCTGGTCATTGACTTCCTTTGAAGTCAAAGTTTAGAAGACTTTGTTCTAAACTGTGACTTGTAATCTAACATAAAATGAGAACCCAGATATCCAACCCCGTTAGCATTATACAAACTGTAACAGTAAACAGACTCTCTATGGAGTCCTGTGGTGCTCTCCTAGGGAGTAAAATACATGCACAATGGGGCATCTATTTTGAGCGCTGGAAAACTGTGTCTCTTCTGTCTTGGTTTTCCATTTGTGTTTTAAACAGATGTTATGCTCATTTTTAGGCAAGTCAGGTGTATATATATATATATATTTCAAGATCACAGTATAATGCAAATCTCCAGATAACAAACATTTTAAAAAGACAAAAGCAATGGCTTAGTCTTAACTTTTCAATTAAGAAAAATAAATTTAAAAGAAGGGGAAAAAGAGAAATAGAGAGTAGAATAGTGATTACCAGAGACAGGGAAAGGGAAGGGGTGGGGGGTCGGGGAAAGGTTGGTAGACTGGTACAAAGTTGTAAAGTTACAGTTCAATAGGAAGAATAAGTTCCGGTGACTCAGGATCTTGAACGTTATAACCACAAAGAAATGTTAACTGTTTAGGTGATAGACATGCTAACTATTCTGATTAGATCATTATACAATATATGCACGTATTGAAACAACAAACTGTACCCCATAAACATGTACAATGAAAAAAATAAATTAGAATTTTTTAAAAAAAATTGGGGCCATACTGACAGCTGCCCTAATTCTAAATAAATAAATAAAAATCACTCACCCATTAAAAAAAATAAAGAAATAGTAAACATCCCTACCATTACTTCAGAAGTAACTACTCTTATCAAATTGGTGTATGTTCCTCCCAGACTTCTTCTATGCACTTACATACATACATGTTATTTTGGTTTTTCTTTGTTTTGTTTTATAGAAGTGATTTTGTATTGTACTTCCCCTGCTCTACAGCTTTCTTTCAATGAAATCTTTTCATATTAGTACATGTAAGTCTACCTATTGTTAAGACGTATGTAGTATTCCACAGTGACTCCATGTTACTATTTATTTATAAACATTTATTAAATGCTTAGTAATTCCACCATTAATAACATTTAGCTTGTTTCCAGTTAAAAAAAAAAAAAAACGAGAGAGAGTAGTTATCTGCAGAGGATGGCAGGGCACTGCAGTTCACTGATAGGGGCCTGCCAAAAACTCCAAAAAGCATCTCCCAAAATATTTATTTACCAATATTGATAAATATACAAATCCCACTAAAACCCATCCAGGCCCAGATGGTTTCATTGATTAATTCCATCAAATATTCAAAGAAATAAATATCAATTCTTAACAAACTCTTCCAGAAAATAGAGGAGATACTTACCAACTCATTCTATGAGGCCAGTATTACCCTGGTACCAAAACCAGACAAAGACATCATGCTAAAAAAACTACAGATCAATATCCCTCATGAGTACACAGGTAAAAAATCCTGAACAAAACACTAGTAGACTGAATCCAGCAACATATAAAAAGGATTACACATTATGACCAAGTGTGATTTATCTGATTGCAAGGTCAGTTGAAAATATGAAAATCAATTAGTGTAACACACTATGTTAACAGAATAAAGGGGGAAAAAACCACTCATATTATCATGTGAATAGATGCAGAATAAGCATTGGGCAAAATCCAACACCCATTCATGGTAAAAATATTCAATACACAAGGAACTGAAGGGAATTCCTTCAATTCTTCAGCCTGATAAAGGTTACCTATGAAAAACCTACAGCTAACATTATAATCATATCAAATAGTAAGAGATTGGATGCTTTCCCCTAAGAGCAGGAACAAGACAAAAATGTCTGCTCTTGTTAATTTTATCCAACAATTGTACTGGTGGTTCTAGTTAGTGCAATCAGGCAAAAAGAAGAATTGTAAAGAATTTGCACTGTAAAAAAAAAAATTGTCTTTACTTGCAGTCAACATAATGCTGTACGTAAAAAATCCTAAGGAACCCACAAACTACTAGAACTAATACTTGAGTTTAGCAAGGTAGCAAGATAGAAGACCAATATGAATAAAAGTGATTGTATTTCTATATACTAGCAATGAACAATCCAAAAAATGAAATTAAGAAAACAATTTTATTTACAATAGCATCAAAAAAGAATAAAATATTGGGGAATAAATTTAACAAAAGAAATACAAGACTTGTACACTGAAAACTACAAAACATTGCTGAGAGAAATTTGTAAAAGATCTATATAAAGGGAGAGACATTTCAGGTTCACGGATGATGTGCGAAGAGACAAACAAAACATCGCAAATCCATAAAATGGAACACTACTCAGCAGTAGAAAGGAACAAACTGCCTTGATACATGCTAGGACATGCATGAATTAAAACACACACACACACATTATGTTGAGTGAAAAAGCCAGATGCAAAAGACCACATATTTTATCATTGCATTTATGTGAAATGTCCAGAAAAAGCAAGTCTATAGAAACAGAAAGTAAATTAGTGGTCACCTGGGGCTGAGTGTGGGAACACAGAGTGACTGCAAATGGCAGGTGAAATCTCTTTTTGTTCTAAAACTGGATTGTGGTAATAGTTGCACAACTCTATAAATTTACTAAAAATTGTGCTGTGCATTTGAAACAGGTGGATTTTTATGGTATGTAATTCATACCTCAATAGAGGTATTTTTAAAAATAATTGAGAATGTGCACACCTCCCCCTCAAGTTTTCCAGTTTCTTAAGCACAAGACTCTTTAGAGAGCAAGATCATGCACTTGACCCCAAGGAAAACATAAGAACACATAAGACTCTGCTTGTTTTTCTCTCCATGCAAGACTATAACAACCTAGGAAGAGAACTATGACATGCAAATGAGTAAATATCACCAGTAATAGAAGGTGACAAATTTTATGAGCACCTTCACTGTTACCATGCTGGTCCATCATCTCTCTCTCCTGCAATGTTCTCTTACCTGCTCTCTCTACTTCCACCATTCGCTCCTAAGGTCTGTTTTCACCACAGCAGCCAACATGATTCTTTAAAAACCTAATTCAGATCATTTCACTCCTCTGCTTAAACTGTTTCAGCAGCTTCTCATCCCACTAACAGTCATGCTCTAGGTCTTCAATATGCTTTTAAAGCCCTCCACGGTTACATCCTCCCTCTCTCACTCAACCACAAAATCTTTTTTGCTCTATCTCGAACATCCCAGGCATGTTCCCACCTCATGCGCTTTGCACTGGATGTTCTCTCTGCCTTGAACTCTCTTCCACCGGACTTGGCTATGTAGCTTGCTCTCTAACCTCCTGCAAGTCTTTGTCCAACTGTCACCTGCACAGTAAGCCTACCCTGACCACCTTATTTAAATATTCAGTACCCACTCCCTGGAATTACCCATCTCCCTTCAATGCTTTATTTTTCCCCATTGCTCTTATGACCTTCTAACATTCATGATATAATTTATTTACTTATATGGGTCATTGTCTGATTCTCCACCACTGCCAAAATGTGAGCTCCATGAGGGTAAGGGTTTTTGTCTGTTTAGTTTACTGCTATTTTCCAGCACCTATAATAGTATCTGGCACGTTGTAGGGACTCAATCAATTTTTGTTGAATGAATGACAAAGAAGAGTTGCTAAGGGAGTTCATAAGAGAGAGGCTTCATGTGAAATGTACAAATGGTGTTTGGGAGGGAGTGTCTGGCTAGAGCGGAGATGCGAAGGTCAAACTATGGAGGTCCTTGAATGCCTAGAATACAGCAGGCATCCAACACCTATTGGATGAATGAATAAATGAACAAATACATGAGCAGTCTTGGTGTGTTCTGCATACTACCTTAGAGCCCAGGGAAATCGATTATGAAGAGCTATCTCACTGGAACTTTAGCTTTTTTCCATGGCAAAAGCTTTTATTAACAAAATATCCTCTGGAAAAGCTGAAGCGCTTTGTGCTATGCCTGAAATGGCCACTAGGGAATGCCCAAATCCATAAGCCTGAACTGTTAAGAAGGATATTGGGCTCCCCCATCAGAGGCCACCCAGGAGCCCCAATCCCCTGACTGCTGCCTTAACAGGCAGCAGGTGAGAAAGGATGTCTTCCAACATTGCTCTCTCTCTCTGCTCTATCCCGTGTCCTCCACCCAGTGCCAAGTACAATACTAGACATATGGTTAGTGTCCTTGGCATTCAAAATCCTTCAAAATGATGCTTCCTTTTTCACCACCTCTCCTAAACAGACCTTATGCTTGAGCTATACTGGGTCATTCTTTATCCTTTATATATGCTTCTTCTGGTTACAACACCAGCTTTCCCCATGCCGTTTCCTCTGTTTATCACTACCTATCCAAGTCTTATGTGTCCAGCACAAAAGCCACCTCCTCCATCAGCCTTCCCTGATTACTCCTGCTCTTACTGGCCACTGCTTTTCTGAGAGACCCAGGATCTCTGATCACCTGTCCCAGTCAAGAGTCACTTAGTACCACTGATTCAGACACTGTCCCTATCCAAGCACTTCATTCTGGAGTTTCCAGTGAAATCAGAAATCTACCATTTCTGGACTATCAGGAAGGTAATGGACAGATGTCAAAAAATGAACCTATGAAACAAACAAAAAACATGAAGTTCTGATCCTGCAGGACTAGTAAGGAACAGCCTATTTGGGGGAGGCCTCTCTAAATGAGAGGGAAAGTGCAGCAGGCCCTAGAAGAAGACTATCTCCAGCTGCCTAGACCCTTTTTCTTCGGGCAGCAGGAGCAGCTTGGCATGCCCAGTGTCGCCCCCTCCCAGGCAGGCCCCTGCTGTTCCCAAGGCCTCCTCCTACCTACCTTCATTATTTAGCCTAGTCCACCAACTTAGCTGCTAGGATCTGGGGAACTCTAATAGATGCCTGGGGCCTTTTTCCCTTTTAGCCTCTCTCCACCTGCTGTATTCTGTGCTTTGTTCTCTGCAACCATGATAAAGAACAACATGAAATCACATCTAACGTGACAATGTGCTGCAGAGAGCACGTACCAAAGATGTATCCTGGGGCAAGCAGAGGCAGCGGGGGCCTGCCTGGCCAAGTCCATGCTCAGATTAGTGCAAACCAGCTACTGGACAGCAAGCCTGGCAGGGGGACGGGAAAGCTGGACTGAGCTAGGAGAAAGTCAGCATTTACTTTTAATCTACAGATCCTCCCTAGGAGAAGGTATTCTTGTCTCAATTTTAAAGACAAGGAAACTCAGGCTCAAAGAAGTGAGAAGACTTCACTCTACAACAGTTAAGAGGAGGTAGAGTCAAGAACTGAATCCAAATCTCAATGACTGTAATGAACCAGCCTCTTTCTACTGGCCCGCACTGTTTCTCCATATGGTATCCAGGTTCTACCTCCTCTCTAAGTCTTTACACAATGAAGGGCACATTGGGGTGCTCAGCTCCTTTGCTTGGTTCTCTACCTGGCTGATAGGCCCCAAAGCAGACATTTGCTACTTACATTGTAAGATGTGAGATACCATCAATGCTGTACAGTTGTCACTGCATGGAAGTCTTCCTACAGCCAAATCCTTCTTTATTTGAAGAGTAAAAAGATACCTGCAAAGAAGTTGGGAAGAATCTCTTGAGAAAGAAACAGGAATAAGAAAGAAGTCTTTCTTTCTCCCACATCCAAGATGATTCAAGAAAGGAACAGTGCCCCCAGTCAGCTAGATGTCTTTGGGGGGGGGCAGTAATGCATAGGCTTTGCTTCAGCCCCAAACCAGCCCCAGACCACAGCTTGGCTGATCCAGCACTTTGGCAGGCCTCACAGCCATTAGGAATCACCCTGGCCAAATCCTCCCGCCAACATGAGGGAGTTGGCCAATCATCCTCTGTTAGTTTCTGCCACGTAGCAAAACCACATCCCCAGCTACAGAGAAAAGGAGATCCAGCGAGAATAAGCATGCTCGGGAGGCCAGAACAGCACTGTTAACAACATGCTATCGAGTCCCCACTATCGTAACAACTTAGGAGGTGGGTGGAGCAGGAATGATCACCCCATTTTACAATTATGAAAAGAGAGGGGTTAGGTGATTTTGACAAGGTCATATCACGCAAAGATAGGGAAACTGTGGCTGGAACTCAGGTCTGCCACTTAATCCAGGCTGTCTACTGAGTTTCAGAAATCCAGGGCTTGAGGCCAGGCTTCTGCCCATGTTATTCACGTTGCCTGGACCACTGTCTCTGTATCACCTGAGCCCAGCACAGCACCTTACACAGAGTGAATATGTAACGAATGTTTACTGAGAGGAACGAAGCCAGACTGCCCTCTTTCCCACCAAAGGCTCATCAATAAAAATCATCATCATCATCATCAATTATCCATCAGGGACCAATAAAAAGCAGTTTGGTATACAGGGCTTTGCCACATGGATAGCATTTGTCCCTCACTTTCAAGCCCTTATGAAAGGACAATCAACTTTTGGGGGAAAAAGAAAACCAACTATGTATAGAAAAGATGCCACCACTGACTGCTTCCTTCCATGGTCCAAAATTGATTCTAGTATTTTATTTGATGCAGTAAAATATTTACTGAGTATTTACTGTGGAAATTTACCTATATAAAATGTGATTTTGTAAATAAAGTTCTGTGTGAACTTTTTAAAAAATCAGTTAAGCCTTGAAGGCAATGTGGTGGTGAATCAAAAGTAATTGCAAGTGATAGATGAAAATCCAAATTGAAAAAACAGGTAAATTAGTAGGTGATTATTCAGTTTACAAAAACATTCATCATTATAATCCTTCAAATTAGCTTCCCTAATGCATTAGAAATGATTCAATTAGAAAAATCATATTTGCACACCACTCTCAGAAATCTATGTATTAGCCCCAAACCAGGCATCCTTGTTAACTCAAGTACAGAACCAATGGGAAAAAAAAAATTAAAGTCTAACTTTTGCCACTGCCTGTCTTCAAATATAGATGTAAATGAGAATAATCAGCTCCAGTTACTAAAGGGAAAGTGAATTTCATTTTGCTCTTAGCAAGAAAGAAAGGAAACTTCTTGTCATTTGACACGTTTCTTGCTGTTAAGAAGGCAGCTGCCTGCTACAAATACCAAATCCTTGCTCTGAACAGTTGATGAGTCACTTATCATCACATTGATTTTCTCATTCTTTTTTTTTTTTTTTTTGAGAAAGTTTATCACCATCAAAATTGGTCCCAATTTGAAACTCAGCTGAAATGGGTTAGCAAATGCAAACTGATACAGATACCAAGATACCAAGTTATCTGGGAAAGTGGCCTACAACTCACAATTGTGAGAGGATTGGGAGAAAGAAAGAGGGAGAGAGAGGCTTGTGAAAAGTGACTTCTTTGATGTCGCCTCAGAAAAGTCCCCTATACAAAAGGGGTGAAGACAAGCTGGTCATGAAGCCTGTTGCGGGAGGTCAGGGAGGATAATTGCCAACATCCTGTGACCTTGGCCAAGTCCCTTTAACTCCTAGGACCTGCTTCCTCATCTGTAAACCAAGAGGGCTGGACTACATTATCTCTTAGATCCCTTCTATGTGTAACAGTCTAAGTCTAGAAAGAGTAAGGTTTGGGAGAGTATTATGTTGTCCATGCATTTTTGAAGAAATAGGTTTACATCGTAATACTGAAGGCCATTTTTCATAAATATGCACATATCATCATTACAGCATATTTCACCTTCTACTTATGGGATACATCCACACACCCTGCCCCCATTTTTAATGTCCGTGGAAACCAGCAGACACCACACCTATGCTCTTAAGCTGCCCTCTGATTAAAACACAGATGCCGTGAAGGAGAGCACACTTATTGTTGTAGCAGTTTATGGCATAACCCCCAAGTGGTTGCCCATGCTTGCTACCGCTTCTAGAACACCACCCCTCCTTCTCCCTGCAGTCCCCACCCATTGGAAGATTAACACCTTAGGGACCAGCCAGGCCCTCCCTCTCTCTGACATCTCACCATCTCCCAGAGAGTGACTTAAAGCCAAAGCCTTCCAAAGAGGGCGAGAAGCCCTTTCTCCAATGAATGGAGAATAATGATTAAGTAACATCATGCAGCAGACACGCAGGTGAGTACTATACCTTGTAAGTTCTTCCCGAAGATGTCCAGGGTCCACTGGGAAAAATTTCACGATAAATTTGAAAACAACCTCCTTAGGATCTTAAAACACAATATCTCCATAAGTTTTATTTAAATGTCCATCACAATAGTCACAGATCTTTACAAACATACCCCTCTCCTCTTCCCTCCCCTCCCCATCACTCCCACAGACTTTTAAATTTCAATTTTTCACATGTATTAAGTATTGCTATTTTTGGATTGTGTCTCTATGTAGATAGAAATTGGGAAATTTCTCCCACCCCTCTTGCCATCCTCTCTCCCTTTAGGTTTCTTTTTGTAAAGATGTGTTCCTTTGGAGCCTACTGTGTTCTCTCCTAAGAAGTCTCCCATTCAGAAAAATATACCACTTGCTACTTGGGATTCTGCATTCCTGAGTGAGAAAAGGGCCCATCTTCAGCTGGGGCAGGTGAATATCACCTGGCCCAAGGATCTCATAAAGGGAACTAGAAGCAGCACGGACTGATGCCTCTATCTATCTTAAAGTCTACATTAAGAAAACATCTACTTATCTTCACACCTGCTTGTGTTTGAGAATAAGCTTTTTACATCAAAAGTAAGCGTATACCTGCAGCATTAGCACCACTCATTCTGTAAATATTTGCTGGGTGCCTATTATGTGCCAAGCATTGTATTAGGCAAGCACTGGGAGTAAAAAGACAACTATGAGCTCACAGTCTGGTAGAAGAGACAGACATCTAGACAGACAATTACAACACCACAAAGTGCTATAAGCACTGAGTACTGAAGAAGCACGGAGGGAGAAAAGAGTTTAGAGGAGGTCAAGGAAGAAAGACTTCTTAGAGAAGCTGACACCTGAGCAGGGCTGCCAGATTTGGCAAATAAAAGTACAGGACTCTGGTTCAATTTTAATTTCAGTTAAACAACAGTTGCACGAGACATGCTTCAAATTATTCTTTGTTAATGAAATTCTGCCATTTGCAGCAACTTGAATGAAGTTAGAGAAAACTATGTTAAGAGAGGTGAGCTTGGCACAGCAAGAGAAATACCTCATGTCCTCACTCATAAGTGGGAGCTAAAAAATTAAATTAAAAAAAGAAAGAAAGAGAGATACAAAAATCACAATAACTCCTTGAACTTTCAAAAGGAGAGCACAGAACTGAGGCCACCAGAGGTGGGACAGGAAGGGGAGGGGAATCTGGGAGAAATTGTTAAAGGGCCACAAAAAATGATTACATTGTATAATGTTGAATCTACTAATTATCCTGATTTGAGCATCACATATTGTACACGGGTGTTGTTCAACACCGTAGCCCACAGACATGTACAATCAATTATGTTTCAATTAAGATAAATAAATAAAATGGAGTATTTTTTTTAAAAAAACAAATTATATTTGTTTATCTAAAATTGCAATTTAGTTGGGCATCCTGTATTTTATCTGCGAAGTCTACACCTGAGATTAGTTTGGCCAAAGCCAGCAGAGGTAGGAATACAAAGTGGTTAGTTGCAGGGGCAAGGCTAGAAAGGTAGTCGGAGTCTGGCGCTTTGTGTATCAAGCTAACGAGTTTGGACTTTCTGGGCAATAGGGAGCCATGGAAGCGCTTTAAGCAGGAGAGTGATGTGGACAGGTATGTATTTTCAATAGCTCCTTTTGGGAGTAGTGTAGTTGATGGATTAGGGGGAATTGGTCCAGAAGCTGTTGGAATAATGTGACAGGTGATCATTACTCCGCAGGAACAGACAGAACTGTGGGAAGCAGCAACACGTAAAGAGCAGTTGGAGGAAGAGGAACCAGTGAAAGAGACACTAAAACACTAGAACCGTGTTTCTCAAAGTGTTGATTGGAATCCACCTGCCTCAGAAACACCTGTGCAATTTGTTGAACATGCAGCTGGCCGGCCCCCATCCCAGGGAAGAGGCCCAGAAATCTGCATTTTAACAAGAAACCCAGGTGGTCCTGATGCACACTGAAATGTGAGAAACACCAGACTAGATTGTGAAATATAGGAGAAATCTTTCCTGCGTAGTAGGCACTCATATATGAACTGAAGCGAATGGACAATGCCTGTGACAGGATAAAACCAAAGGGTCCTCAGGCAGAAGGTGAATGGCATTGTGGATTGACGTCAAGGGCACTCAAAGATTTACAGTGCCAGAGCGTGAGATATATTCCTAGAGCCAATTCGCAAAGTGCTGTAATTACCAGCATTCTTCAGATTTACTCAAAGATCCAGCAGCATAATTTCCTTCATCTTGGGTAAAATTAAAACAATTTTCTAAATTGCTAAATTTACTGGATGTCTGAAGGGTTGAAATAATATATCAAAGCCCTTTTCTCTCCTTATGTTAAGGTGAGGAATTGTGTGGTGTTGCTGAAATACTTTTCAAGTTCTAACTGGGAATCGTATTCCTTAAATGATTTTTCCATACTTACTTTTTACTTGCTTTGTTATGGGCTTCAGAAGTTCCAACCAAACCTGTAATAACATTAATGAAAAAATGGGTAGAACATGGCATTGAATGCAGTTTTGGACTTTTTTTTGGTAGCAGATAAATGTCACATGAAATAAACAAATACCAGGACTATTTAGACTTCTAAAGATAGTTAGTTAGAAACAAACACAATGTCAAAGAGGTGACTTATCCTCACGGCACTCAGTCTGCCCCCTTATAGTTCCCCAACGACAGTGAACATTGTTATCTATAAACTGTTGTTGACATTTGAATCACTGCTCCCTGCTTCCATAGGATGACAGAAGTGTCACATACAAGGCTCATTAGTTGCTACAAAGACTAATGAAAGCATTTGGCTCCATGTTTGAATCTTACAGTCCCCAAATGCCAGCTTAATAGACATAATGAGCCTTTCTGGGAAGGTGCCAGATTACAGATATGCCAAGGCAGGACACAGCAGAAGAACATTGTGAATGTTAGGACCTGAGAGACGGAAAGAAGATTCCCTTTCACATTCATAGGTGACGTCAGGAGTCTTAATTCTGGGGGTTGAGGTCCAGCCTCTGGAAAGTCAAAATAGATAAAGCACAGATAGTTGTCCACAGAGTGACAAAACAGGAGCATGGGAGAGAAGAGCTTGTGTTTGGCAAACTGAGATGACTTTTAATAAATGAGGAGGGAAAATAGTTATTAAATTCAATCATTTTGCAAGGGGGTAAATGGTTTTTCATTTTTCAGTCAGGGTTTTGAGCCCTACATACCTAACTGCAAATTGTATTTAGAAGCAATTCTAGACACAAAGAAATCTATAATGAAACCAACTTACATTATTTCCAGAATGGCTGCAGAATTCTAATCCAAAATATTCCTTTTCGGCAAGATTTAGATGGCTGCAACTCAGGTTAAACAGTGCCTTTCCGGATGACTTTTGCTAAACAAAACAAAGAGGTCATAGCACACAGTTTGTGTTCCTAGCCTAATATTGTTACTGCAGGGTGGGATAAAGGATAGAAGCCACAAGACCCTCCTTGAGGTTCCGTTTCCTGTAAGCACTGTTTAGAGGACGTGTATCCTCCTAAATGACGTTGAGCCTCACAGACAGATACACCCATCTATCTGTAGACTGTTTTAGGGACAGCCCTAGAAAAGCCTCAGACTAATCACAAACCCTCTTGGAAGAAGACAGCCTTACACTTAGCTATGGCTAGGTCTGTAAATTTACCCTTCCCCTGAAAGTCTTTAATCAATTCATCCCACGGGCAATTTGAATGATTTTCCCCAAATTGACAGTTTAATCAACATGTAAATCTGCCCCTTCTACTGCCCTGCTCAAAATCCTTCAGAGGCCCCTGTCAGGATAAAGCCTATACTCCTTAGCATGGGAGGCGGGGCCCTCTCCCCTCACGTGGCCCTTCCTGCCCCTCCGGCTCATCTCTTGCCCCGCTCCTGACACGTTCCTCTCTAATAATCGCAGCCTGCTCATAGTTCCCCACACATGTCAAGTCGTTTCATGCCTCTATGCCTCTGCTCCTGTCATTCCTTCTCCACAGACCGCCCTTCCCACCTTTCTTTGGTTTGGCTTCCTCCCACTCAGCTCAGATGTCACCTCCCCAGGGAAGCTTTCCAGATCCCTATCAGACGCAGGTTGAGTTGAGGGCAGGCCCCAAGCTCCCAAACACCCTCGCTTACCTCAGACATGACACTTCTCACACTGGACGTCTATCTTCCCCATTTAGACTCAATGCCTCCATAAGCAGGGACCTTGCTTTATTTTTCTTGTTACTTGCCAGGCCTACCTCAGAGCTTGGCACATAGTACGGGCTCTTGAATACGTGGTGATCCGCCATGAAATTGACCAAATGAATTATATGTGCTCCTTGAGTAGATTTCATTTTGCAGCTTTGCCCACCAAATCTGCATACAGCATACTCTGTTCACATAAGGCCACACATTATTTTCTTCTTCATAAAGCCCACACACACTGTGAGCACAGAACAGTCCCTTTCTTATGCTTCACTAAGAACAGGAGCTTTGAAGAGCTCTCTGTGAAAATCTCTTGGAGCAGCACGTGGCTGGGGCTGATCTTCAGGCACTACCATTGCCCAACCCGAGGGCTGCTGTTGCAGGAAGGACTGTGATGGGAAAATTGGGCCCTGGCTGATAGGCACAAAGACATGCTGCTGAAAACCCCTAGTTAAAGCCAAGTCACACGGTGCCTGCAGTGCTGCAAAGGAAGCCGGGCGCAGGGAAATGTAGTTGGAAATCACCGACCCGTAGAATTAGCAGCAACCTTGAGAGGTCAGAGAGTCCATCCACCACCACCCCCTCCCTCAAGGCAGCACCACACTGAACAGAGCCCACATCTGGGATTTAATAGCTTCCAGCAAGGCAGCCTACCTCGCCCCTTTTCCCCCCACCGACCAAAACTGTGCCCCTCTCCCCCGACTTCTCTCCACTGAGTTAGACTGCCCAGGGCCCCACCAACTCCAGATCCATTTGGGTTAACCAGGGTCCTATTTTTAAATGCAAATAGGCCACAAAGGGAGAAACCTCTTGCATCTCTAGCACCTGGAGAGCGTGGCTGTAGTGAGGGAAAGGGGTTTGATTGGATGTGGGAGATCATACTGGAGCTGTGATCTGGGAAAAGGGGGCCAGTTCTGGGGTGGGGGAGTGCCTAGGGCATGGGGGGGTGGAGGAGGGGGTGCCTGGTAGGGAGGAAGAAGGGGGGTATTTTTGCCTATGTGGCAACCTTGCCTAGGGCAAGTGCTGACACAGACCATTCCAGACAGATGAAATCGCTCCTATTTTTAAAGTCCTCCAGACAAGGAGCTGCCACAGGATTTTTATTACGAAAAAAAAATTTTCTAAAGAGAGAGAGATGACAGCAATACTTTTTCCAACACCAAAGAAACATTTCAGTCACAAGGACTAAATTCCATCAGAGGCTCCAGTTTCTTTGCAAACAGTTTAAGAAGCTCAAGATTTTCCTTTTTCTTTTTCATTTTTTATTCTTACTTTCCATCAGGGCACTTAATCCTCCCTATCAATGCTGTCACATTCCATGTGTTTGTATATTTAAATGTTTCTGCAGTCACAAAGAATATATAGCCATTCTTATAAGGTTTCACATCAAGGCTTTCTTTTTGCTCACTTCGGTAAGATACCTTACCATGTTAATAAGAATAATCCCCTGATTCTTTCATCCCTGTAAATGTTGCCAATTGGCTCTAACAGCCTTTGGCTTTTTGCATTTGAGGTCAGGCACTCACGTGGCTCAAACTCTCCAGCCCCACCTCCGGGAGAGGCATTTTTCCCTTCAGTCCTCCATAGTGTACGTTGAAATTGGCCAGCCTCATGGAATGTGTTGCATAATAGGTAAGGTCTTGGTTCTGTCTCAACATGCAGCCTTTAGTTTTTTTCTACCATTATGATCCAATTCCTTAATTTTTATGTTATGGTTATTTTTCTCATAATATCTCCTTATATACAACTTTCATATTTTCTCTTTCCTGGACTTCTGATTCTCTGTACAGTTGCTTGCTCTTGTTTAAGCTGGCACTTTTCAACATTCTAACCAAGCTCCTTAGTGGATCTGAACTCTTTAGCAACAGTCAGTCCTCCCACTCAAGGAATTGAAACTCCAATCCTGAATCCTGTCTAGCCCTCATCTCCCTTGGATTACAGTAGAGCAGAGTCTACCTTTAAAAATATACATATATATGTATAAAATAAAAATATAACAAGTATAAAGAAAAAATAAAAGTAATCTATTATGCTACATATACAAGGGTACTTTGGAAAAATAGGCTGGCCAGTTGGCTCACTTGATTACAGCGTGGTGGTGATAACACCAAGGCCAAAGGTTTGGATCCCCTTACCAGCCAGCTGCCAAAAAAAAAAAAAAAAGAAGAAAGGAAAAATAATTAGAACTGTGGAATATACTATAAAGCTTATGTACTTCACAGGGCCTGGTTTTCCAAAGTCTTGCAATTTCAAGTATTGACCTTGTGGAGGACTGGAACTTTCCCTCAGGGTATAAGTCTCTGTTGTAAGATAAGGATTGTGGCACAGCAGGTTGCTGGCTCACAGACAGACTAGTTACTGATTGATATGTAAAGATACTAAGAATTGCTATAAGAGGGAATGTTTGCTAAGATCAAACTGTTATTGATAGGACCACTTAATTGCCTTACTGGAATGTGTCATCTGGCTTGTTTCACTGAAAGCTACCAGCCTATATTGTTAAACTATAACCCCACCTTTGTTCTCATCCTGTAACTTCCTGGTCTGGAAAATAAATGCAGGAAGAGAACCCCAATTTGGCATTAATTTCCCAGGGAAGGGATGCCTCTCGCTTGAGGGTTCCGGTGGGAGATTAACCTCTTCGGGGCTTCTCACTACTCGAAAGAAAAAAAAATAAAAATATATTCCACTACTACTTCTGAATGTTTTTAAAAATTAAGCTGATGTTTTAAAAGAGAAATGAAATTCCTTTTGATAAATTTTGAGAACTTAGTCACATATTGAAATGATTTGGATCCTTTTGTAATTTTGCATAATCTGTGCTAGAAACTGCTGTTTTCACAGTTCCTAGGGAATTACTTAAGAATATGTTACAAAATTTTTCAATTTGCTGGATACTGTTAGTTATTAAATTTGGGGTCTCTATCCTAAAGCATAACTTGTCTAGGGGCAGATACTTGCAGGTGCTAGGCAGATAGCATGAATATGTGAATGGGGACTTGGGTATGAGAATAGGAAATACTCTTAGTGGGGTGCTGGAGATGCAACCCCACCTGAAATCACTCAAATTTGTTTTCACTTTGCTGGGCAGGTCAGACCAACACAGATTGGCAGCCTCAATGCTCTTGCTGTAGGAATTAATAACCTAGTTGGGGAAAGCAAAACTTACAAATGAAATGGTTTAGTTCCAGTTTGAGGCAGTTCTTTCATCCATCCATCCAGCCTCTTCATTTATACATGCATTAATTTACTCATCACCACAGTACCTATTATGTGCCAACCTTTAGATGTAAGATGGAATCCCTGCCTTCAGTAATTCAGTTTTACATCAAATTGGCAGAAAGCCTTTTCTTTGGAATCACACGTTAGGTTCAAATCCCAGTTTGCTACCTATAAACTGGCTAACTTTGTTCAAGCTGCTTAATTTCTCTGAGCCCGAGTTTCCCAATTACAGTTAAAAAATATTATTTAGCCACTAAGATTCTGTTCATTAATATTTTTAATAACATGGGGAAATACTTGTACTATTTTTCTGAAAACTAACATATGTTAATAAAAAAGAATGTGGTAAAATTTTTAAAAAAAGAAAAAGTAAAAAGAAAAGAAAAAGAAACAAGTGCATGTAAAAATAGAATTAAAAGCTACTCTCATATATATAATTTTGAACAAACTTTTCAGAACTTGTATTTATAATCTCCGATTTACTGGGTCATAACTTCCCGACACTGATTCCTGGGGACTCCAAACTCATCTTCTCATGGAAACAATAATGTTCAAAGAGGCTAGCTTTAAACACCATTCTACTGAAGTTTCTATGCACCTAGAGCTGTCATATACCAATTTGTTAAAATAAACCTGGATTGTAATCTTGCTCTACTCACTTATTAACTGGATGAATTGGGGAAAATTATTTAGCTCACAGATTGATCTACGTTTTCCAGGTTCTAGAAGACAGAAGCCATGTGTTTAAATACGTGGCATTAAACACAGTGATTGGCAAAAAGTGGACATTCAATAAATGTTTACTGAATAGATAAATGGACACAAACATTGAACTTGATTCATGTACATTAATATGATAGTCCTCTCAGAAGGAAGAACAAATTAGTCACTATGTGACATTGGGCAAATTACTGAAACTTTCTGAACTTCAGTTTACTCATCTGTAAAATGGAGATAATAGTGGTG